ACCTTCAGTGCAGGGTATACAAATACCGCCTCCGAACAATCGCTACTTCGGCTCATACATGGATTCAATTTGAAGTCTCTAGCCAACAGACTCTATTGACCGAAGACTTGGGGGACTACATTATGTACCATATATTGGGCCTCATGAAAAATACTTGGGGGACTTAGCCCATTATTCATGTACTGAGGGGCGAACCCTTATTTTATAAAAGGGACTCTCTCACCTTCATTAGAGAGCAACGCCGCCAGCTGAGCAACCGCATCGCCACGAGCATCACTTCTAACCCATCACTTATATATTGAGGAGCGAGCTCTTATTCTATAAAAGGGACTCCCTCACCACAATTAGAGAGTATCGCCGCCTACTGAGCAACAGCCTCGCCGCAAGCATCAACTCTAGCCCATAATTTATGTATTGAGAAGCGATCCCTTATTCTATAAAAGGGACCCCCTCACCTTCAAGCGCCACAAGCCGAGCAGCCTCGCAACATGTGCTACTTCTAGTTGAGCATCATTTCAGATTGAGCACCGCCTTATATCGAACATCAGTTCAAGACAACATCTAGTTACTTCGGCCCACACATGGACTGAATTTCCAAGTCTCCTGCCAAAAGACTCTCTTGACTGAAGACTTGGGGGACTACTGTTTATACCATATTTAGGGCATCGTATTTAGATCTCGTACAAATACTCGGGGGACTTAAATGTAATTATGTGATAAAGGAAGGGGCAAATATGTAATAAGTGAGGAGTCCTTATTCTATAAAATGACCCCTCACCCTCATAATTGGGGGAGGCCAATTCCTAGGCCCTCTTACCCCTCTCAAAGCTCTCACTCTCAGATCTCTCTCTCCCTCAAATAAATACATAATCAGTGTGGACGTAGCCCAAACCTTGGGGTGAACCACGATACATCTTGTGTTATTTACATTTCTTGCAGATTCACGGTCGGATTTACGTTGTTCCAAGACCTCCGGTTTTGTGCATCAACAAGATTCATAAATCATCATTATATCTTATCACCTAATGATAAGATTTAAATTGGGAGACAATATCAATGTAATTAGAAGTAATTCCATCCTTTTGAAATCACTACTACAATTTTTAGTCTTCGACAACGGTTTTATCCATTGCCTTTTTCACTATAATACCGATGTATTGTGAGGTGGTGCTATATGTAAACAACAGTGTGCTCAACCCTCTTGTACTCAATATTCAAATCCTCCTTTCCTCAACTTAGATTAATTTATAGTAATTATTTTTTCGTTTATAAAATAAAATAAATAGAAGAAAGAAGTTGCATGGATGCAACAGAAGTCAACGAAACCTACAACTAGGAAAAAGCCCCTATCCAATCGAAAACTACGTCCGATTTCTAATAATTTTTAATTTGTCAAGTTAAGATGATTTAGTGCTATTTTTTTTAATTTGTAAACGAGAAATTTTAAATTCGATTCTCTCTAAACTTAAATTTGAATTGAATTACTATAATTAGTCTATTGTGAGATTTTGCCCATTCTTTTGTTTTTATTTTTTTAGTGAAAATAATATCAATGCATTAAAAAAAAAAACCAGTTTCTTCTTCTCTCTCAGTCAGCAACATAGAATACAGAGAGATTGTTTTTCGATCAAATTTTTACGAGAGTTCTTAAGTTTCAACTCCTACTAATGTGCATGTCAATATTTTGTTAATTATTCTATCAGATTGAGAAGGAGAGAAGGAGAGAAGGAGAGAGAGAGAGAGAGAATGGGAGGAGTGAAAGGTTTTTGTTTTTGTTTTTGTTTTTGTTTTTTTTAATATTGAAGGTATTTTAACATCGTCTGTAAGTGAAATTTCAATAAAAAACAGTAAAATTTGAACATATGAAATTACATTATTGCCCATCAATTTTTTTTTTTTTTGTGATAGAAAGATAATTTGTCTTTTTACCCTTTTTTGGTTGACAAAAAAAAATTCATTAATTAGTAGAGATTAGATTGAGAATTATTTTGTTTTGGGACTTTGACATAGACTTTACCGTAAATGAAAGGTTAGGGAAACTTAAAAAAAATTAGGGAGGATCAAAATCAGTAAGATTTATAATTTAAGGACGTGCTAAAATTTTCAAAAAAAAAAAAAAAAAAGAAAAAAAAAGTAAAGAAAAAAAAAGTAGAAGTGTGTAGATATTACGTTCGAGAAGGTTGCGGAAAGCGGGTGAGTGCTGGAGAGCGTGGGGACAAATTAAAGACGTGTCCGTTTACCGAAGGAAACCAGAGCGACGTGGTGAAATAAAACTGATCCATCCCTCTAACGGTCCACCGGAGGAGGAAGAAGAAGGAAACCGAGAAATCTAGAGAGAGAGAGAGAGAGAGATGGCTGTGAATCCTCAACTGTTCCCCAATGGCATGCCCGTTCCTTTCGTGAACGAGATGTTTGTTTTGGCCAGAGACGGCGTCGAGTTCGAGGTCGATAAGATTCCCGGGTTCGTATTCTCTTACAATTTTGATTGATTTCACGTCCCTCACTTTTTCTCTGTGAAAATTTCTTGCGACTCAATTCTGTTCTGCTAGCATTAATGATCAAAGCCCATCAAAGCATTCAATCTTCATCCTTGTCAAATGGGGTTTGATTGGAATTTTGATTTGATGGTTGTTTAATTTAAAGTTGCTACATTTATTTTATTTGATTTCTGTGGAGTTGTTGGAAGAAGATTGCGGCAGTGTCCAACTGTTGTTTGTTTGTTTGGTTAAATTGGAATTGGTTTCTGTATTGAGCATTTGCCTCCAACTTGCACTTGCAGATATGATGGTGGTGGTCGTCTGAAAGCAAAAGGAACAATCTACTTGTCAAATATACGGATGGTCTTTGTTTCCAACAAGCCTGTTGGGAGCTTTTTGGCTTTTGATATGCCCCTGGTATGTGATTCTTGCTCCTAACTCTAAATTGCTTTCCTTTCGTCCTTCTGCTGCGGTTTTCTTTCAGAAGTTCATTTGAAGTGAATAAACTTATTCAAAACCTGATGATTCTTATGTAATTCTTTGTTTTTGTTAGTATCAAATTTGTGAAGCCTTGAATTTTTATTTGTTAATGTTCAGTAACAAGAAATATCGTTCGGAACTGCCAGACTAATACTAACATAGAACGTACACAGAAATATAATCTGGTACATAACAGTAAGAATTCTTTCAACAGTCTACCTGTCTCAAACGGAGGTTGTAACACTTTGTTTTTGTTGATTATAACCCTGTAAGCCTCTTTTGATGTTTATATCAAGTCCGAAGCAACGAGCTTTAATTTTTTATATTAGACCAAACAGATGTATTGCTTTTGCCATTTTAGCTTGCTGAGTTCTTAGTCTCTCACCCTATTGTGAGCTACATTGAGACTTTGTTGGAAGAATTAAAAACGCTCCACAAAAGGGTAAAACCCCACTGAAAAAGAAAACCCCACGCCCTAGTTGAGAAGCACTCTCCATCCACTTCCCCCTTTCCCGTGTGCCCAAAAGCTCGCCGCGCTATTTGTGAGCGTCTTTTTAATTCACTGACCCAATTTCAAATACTTGATTTGATGTCAATCATGAGCTCATCTTCCCCCTTATTTTTATGTTTGGTTAGATCTTTTTTTTACTGTTTCTCCGCAAATCTATGTTTTGGGCTATTTAGCATGGTTATTAAATCCTTGGTATCATCTTATGATTGATCCGAGGGCCCTCTACTGGATCTTAGGGAGGACAGTAGGATCCTGAGTTAAAGTTCCTGCATCTCTCATTGCCATTATCTAACCAAGACTATGAACTGATAAATTTGATATTACAACATATTTAATCAACCTTTTATGTCACAAATGTGTCATAAACCTACAGTCAGCCATTATCCGCCACTACAACCACCCAAATTTTCACTGTCAACAATCATAATCCCACAGCAGTAATAATGTGATATCGAACAGTTGTTGGATTTCAGTCCCTTACTGGTGCATATTTCTAGGGACTTAGGCGAGTGCTACTGTTATTATGTGTGTAAGGCTTAAAAGCATTTTTTATGTGACGATTGACCTTTTGTCTCCGTGCAGTTTTCGTGCATAGTTGATGTCTCTTCCTGTGTTTCTTTTGTATCTATTTATTTGCATCTCACTGACTTTTGGATTCATCTGTTTTTCAGCTTTACGTCCATGGTGAAAAGTTTAATCAACCAATTTTCCACTGCAACAACATTGCTGGTCAGGTGGAGCCAGTAAGTATATGTGTTAGAGGATTTCAATTATTGGCCATCCCATATCCCCGTTTCTGATTTTGGAGATCTTATCGGTCTTAATGGCTAATTTCAGGTGGTTCCAGAAGGTCAGCATGGGGCTCTTTATTCCACTCACTCATTCAAGATTTTGTTCAAAGAAGGGGGCTGTGGGACGTTCGTTCCACTCTTTTTCAACTTGATCTCCGCAGTGAGACAATATAACCAGTATCAACACCCCAACGCTGGGTCTCAGCCTCTTGTGGATCCTTTGCAAGCAGCACAAACTCCTGTTGATGAGATGATGAGACATGCGTAAGTGAACGTATTTTGCTGTTTTATGCTTGTAGTCAAGTGGCTGAAGAGAAGGATTACCGGTTTAACTATGATTTCCTAATTTTGCAGGTATGTCGATCCTAATGATCCAACGAGGATCTTCTTGCAGCAGCCCACTCCAGAGGCTCAGCTGAGGCGGCGCACATACCAGTCACAGCCCGTCGAACATTAAATGTAGTACGTTTACAAATATTGAATAAAATTACATGTTTTAAGAAGCCATATTAGTGTGCCGTTTAACTGGATTATAGCTACATTACATTTTGTAAGAAGTCTGTTTCTACTTGTATATTACCGAGACTTCCTATTGTGAGTAAATAATCTGTTGAATCTTCGCTGTGGATTCGTTACATTTTGGCCTTGAGCGTGTAATTCCTGAAAGTATGTGTTATTGTTTGTTTTTTTGGGGGTTTTCTGTAACTGTTGTACCGGCATCATTCAGTTACGCGTGCCCTGTTTCACAAAATATGGTGCAAATCATTCATGTGGTACAACTGTGACATTCAGCTTTAGAAGTGTAAAGATACAACGCCGGAACTTGGTTTAGGCGGACAGACGCAGCGAGCTTCTTTTGAGCCACAGCTGGTAAGCAGTCATGTGGAAGGAGTCGTAACCTTTCGGAGTCTCGTGCCAAACAAAATGCCGACGAACCTTGATCAAATTACGGTACAACGTCGCATACGATTGTCTTGTTATCGACAACAATGTCTTCTTCAACAAGGAAACCTCGCCACTGTTGACAATAACTGAGAACTTGGTCCAATCCAAGACATTAGCAAATGGAAGCTCGTAGTGGTTGGATATTATAACCGGAATGCAGCCGTAGTGTATTGCGTCACTCACTCTCGCAGTGTTGACCTCGTAGCCTCTGACATGGAGGCAAAACTTGCTCCTCCGAAACCCTTCTTCGTAAGGGTAAGACGGGTTGCCGGGAAATATGTCCATGCGAGTGTCGTTGCCCCATAAATCGATCAGCTGTTGGCGAATGTCCGAGTTTTGAATTCGTCCTGAGAAATAAACAAGCTTATCCCTGCATTGAGCATAACATCGCATGTTACATTGCTAGCAAAGGAAAACAATCATGTATATGATTTTGATGCGGGTGCGATTATTTAACCCAGTAACGCTATCGGTCGATCTAGACGGAGTGATTAGCGTGGTATTAAATTAACAGTTGGACAAAGAAATTAAGCATTACCCAAAAACAAAACATACAAACTAAAATGTATATGATTTTGATGCGGGTGCGATTATTTAACCCAGTAACGCTATCGGTCGATCTAGACGGAGTGATTAGCGTGGTATTAAATTAACAGTTGGACAAAGAAATTAAGCATTACCCAAAAACAAAACATACAAACTAAAATGTTGGGTTGGAGATAATACCTGGATTGTGGGGGGTTGAGGGATTGCTGAGGAGGCCGTGGCCAAACCTGCGGCAAGGCGACATCTTTATGCGTAACATACAATCTCTGGAAGTAGCTGGAGGAGCAAGTGAGCTGGATCGCATTGTTGCGCAGCCCGGCATGTTGGGCGGCGGCCTCTCTGCAAACAGAGTGACAGCAGGCGTAGAAGTGGTCGGCGCCAGAGGAGGCGTTCCAGAACTTGAAGTCTCGGCCGACGGCGGCAGTGTAGTGGGCGACAAACTCGGCGATGGAGGACTCGGAGTGGACACGGGGGTCGTTGCGGAGGACATTGACGGAGAATGGGAGGAAGAAGAGGTGGGCATTTTGTGGGTCGTTGGTGACGAAGGAGCTGGAGAGGAGAGAGAGCTTGAACATGTGCTCGCTGAAGTAGTTTCCGAGCTTGGGGTCGAAGGGGTTGGGGTGGGGGAGGAAGACGGCGGGGAATGAAGCGAAGGAGGGGGAGGAAGGAGGATCGGAATTGTTGGAATTGGTGGGGTAGACGTAAATCTTGAAGCTTTGGAGCATTTCTCGGAAATCGGTCGCGAAGAGGTCCCAGTCGTGGTAAGGGCCTGAATCTGGAGGAGGAGGAGCGGACAGACCCAAATTATGGCTGTTTTGTTTGGATAAGTGGAGAGGGAAGATGGACAACCAGGAAGCGGAGGAGACGGCCAGCGCCAGCATTGCCGCCAGGAGTAGCCGGCGTTTGAGGTTGGGCATTTTCTTACGTGATGAATACAGAGGATGAATCTTATCTTGTTGGTCCTCTTGATCCAAACTTGTGGAAACTCCGACGGGAAAGTGATTTTCGAACTGTTTCTTCACACTATTATTAAATTATTTTTTTTTTAATACAAATAATGACCGGCCAGCGAATTGGGCTAGATCATTAAATTTGGGTGACGATGGACCCACCCACCAACTCTAATTCTCCATCTATTTTTAATGAAAATCTTAATGACATCTCTAACTTTTTGCCAAAAATGACTTCATGCCATCGTTAACCTTTACTCTTTTGTTTTTGTTGGATTTATTCTGAAAATTAGAACGATTTAACCCATGTAATCTCTTTTTACACATAATTTATTCATTTCATCCATATTATTTTTTAGAGTTAATCTCTATTTACTACCATAAAATTTCGTGGTTTTCAACATTTGGTACATGAAGTTTTTTTCATCCCAAAGTCATACCTCAAGTCTTGATTTTGGAACAGTTTCATACATCCGTTAAGTTTTCTATCATAACCTCGATTAACTGATGATATGGCGCCCACTTGGATAATGACTGAATGACACGTGTTAATATGAGCCACGTGGAAATTAAAAAATATTTAAAAATTTAAATTTAAAATACATGAAAAAAAAAACTTACCCATCTCTTACCCTAAACCCTAAAAAAAACTACATGTCTCTTACCCCCACCCCCCCCACCCCTCCCTCACATCTCTCTCTGCAACCTGCAGGACCCTCCATTTTCACCTCTGCAAACTGCACCAGCCTCCCTTCTCTCCTCTGCAAGCGTAGTCTAGTCCCGCCTGCAGCTTCTCCTCGTACACCTTCCGCTCGTTGGGGAAAAAGATCTCGTAGTTTCTCTCCGATGTGGGACCGAATTTCTTGTCCTCGTTGAATAGAATGAAGAGGTAGATGGGTCGGATCTGCTTTGGTTCTCAAGGAGGTCCCCCCGCCGGTCAATACCCGACAGATGAGGAACTTGGTGGTGTTGTGGGTGTCAACGAAGACCTCGATGCCGACGCCGATAGCTTCGATTTGGGTGTTGGGGTGGTAAGCAACGACGTTTCGTTAGACCCAGTTGGTAGCAAAAGACTGAGACTTGGCGGCGGAGAAGAGCGATCGACGGTAACCTTGATGTTGGATCCAGCTAGGGCCCTGAGCATGGCCAGGTCAGAGTCGAAGACCTTGACCCGTTCCAAGCCTGGGGACTTCAGAAGCTGGTGCGGTTGGTAGAGGTGAAAATGGAAGGTCTTCCCCCAACTCAGATCCCACCCTTCCTCTCTCTCATCCCTATTCGCACACTGAAGGTCGTGGGTTGAGGCTAGAATTTGTAGTGGCTGAAGTGTGGATCTGGGAGTCACGGGTTTGCAAAAGAGGTGCAGTTGTTGTTCGATTTTAAAATGGCGAGAGAGACGAGATGCTGAAGTTTGCGGGTTGGTAGCTGCAAGTGCTGGGATTGCGACGAAGCTGTGAGTTGCTCGAGGGTTTGTTTATTTGACTTTGTAGAAGGAGGGTTCCCGAGGACTGGGTTCCTCGAATTTCTTAACCATGTCGTGACCTTTGGGGGACTGCAAAACCTCGAAGGAGAGACAACCATGTTTTGAAGTCATGGCTTCAACAATTTGGGTTCTTTGATTTATTGTTACCACATTTGGGTTGTTGCTTAGACGCTGACGCTGCAAGCTCACCGGAGGGATCCCTCTAAAACTGTCAGCCATCCCCAACCCAGATCCCACCCTCCCTCTCTCTCATCCCCATCTACATTACGCGGCGCAGATCTATCGAAACCCTAAGACTTCCAATTCTGATATTTGACTCTGAGCAAAGAAGAAACTGAGCTCAAAGCCATGGACTTTTCTTTGTTTTTGTGTTTTTTTATTTTTTTTTAATTTTTTAATATTGAAATGGGCTCATATTGACACGTGGCACTCATTTATTGTTCACGTGGATGACACATCATCACTTAACAGAAGTTCTAACGAAAAACTTAACGGATGTATGAAACTGTCCCAAAATTAAGACTTGAGGTGTGACTCTGGGATGAAAAAAACTTCATGTACCAAATGTTGAAAACCACGAAACTTCAGAGTAGTAAACAAAGATTAACCCTATTTTTTATTAAAAAAATTAATCTTTCTTTAAACTCAAATTTATTACCTAAACTACTCTCTCAAACTCAATTCAAAATGTTATCTTTACACCAATTTCCTTTATAAAATAACATATGTAATTGAATAAAAAAAAAAGCATCCTTGTCCCACCCCCTCTTCCCACTAGCATTTCCATGGCTACTTTTTTTTTTCTTTATGCTACCAAACCCAAACATTTGTCTTTTTTCTTTCTACTAATGTCCATAAGCAACAAATCAAACAATTCATCCTCTTATATTTATCAACAAGCAAGGAAGTTTATAATCTAACAACATTGGTGACAAGTTTTTCCTTAGAATTTTCCAATAGCAGAAAGTTTAACAAACCCTTCGGGCTTGATGAAAAAAATTGAAACCTAAATACTCATCTTCTAAACTTAAAAAAAAAATGAAATCAAACGAACAAAATATTCATAAATTGAGTCATATCTTAGTTTGAGGATTCAAAACTTCAAAATCACCATCCATCTATAAAAATGATTGTTTTTCTCTACAAGACCTATTAGGGTTTTAGCTAGAATGAACGTAGGATAAACAAGAAACGAGGGTAGGGTTTAATGGGTTTATTGATAAATTTGAGTTTTATTATTAATTTCATGCCCAATAAAATGTTTTTTTTTTTGTCAAACGATATAATTTTGTTAGAGTAGTCACCAACGGAGATCGAACCCACTCTTCTTTCCATCACTGCGGTAAATGACCACTTGCATACCCATTAATAGTTTGTGCATAGCAGTATAGCACAACTCTAAAGTTATTGTAAAGTAGTGACAATTTATTGTTAGTTGAGACAGACAGTGAGAGTGAATGACATTTTTACCCCCAACATCTTAACAGAGATTTATCGAAAGACTAACGAAAATAACAAATTGGATTGACATTGCTAACATGTTTGACCATAGGGTTATGATTAACAAAAGAGAAATTTTATTTGAACCCATGTAACCTCTTTCTACACCTAAAGTAAATTTAAATTGCTAATTATCTATTTTATCCTATTGCATAATTACTATTAAGTACAAAATGAAATTAATAATAAAACTCAAATTTATCAATAAACCCATTAAACCCTACCATCACTTCTTGTTTATCCTACGTTCATTCTGGCTAAAACCCTAATAGGTCTTGTAGAGAAAAACAAGCGTTTTTATTGATGGATGGTGATTTTGAAGTTTTGAATCCTCCAATTAAAGTATGACTCAATTTATGAATATTTTGTTCGTTTGATTTCAATTTTTTTAAAGTTTAGAAGATGAGTATTTAGGTTTCAATTTTTTTTCATCAATTTTGAAGGGTTTGTTAAACTTTTTGCGATTGAAAAATTCTAAGGAAAAACGTTGTACCAATATTCTTAAATTATAAACTTCCTTGCGCTTGTTGATAAATATAAGGGGATGAATTGTTTGATTTGTTGCTTATGCACATCAGTAAAAAGAAAAAAGGCAAATGTCTGAGTTTGGTAGCAGAAAGAAAAAAGAAAAAGAAAAAAAGTAGCCATGGAAATGCTAATGGGAAGAGGGGGTGGGACAAGGACACTTTTTTTTTTTTTAATATTCAATTACAAATGTTATTTTATAAAGAAAATGAATGTAAAGATAACATTTTGAATTGAGTTTGAAATGGTAGTTTAGAGACGTAGAACCCGATTTGCCTATAATGTTGAAAGTAGGCAATATATCGTATGTAGACGAAGTTTACTAACTACACTATTGAAATATATTTTCACATAAATGGCTCATCAAAATAGATTTAACTAGTCATTATCTGCCATTATAAATTATAATTCAATTTTGTCTACTTTAATTGTCTAAATCGATATCAGAAGGTAACCGAATCTGAAACCAAACAAAGCTTTCTTCGTAAGTTACAAAAACTTTGTCTGGCTATAAGAAGAGCCGGGAAACGGTGTCGTTTACCGGGTGTGGTCAGGTTGGGCCACATCACCAATTTCAATTCTGCACAAGTCGTCTATGTTCTGAAGAAAGAAGACGATGACAGGCAGCTGACCATTTGAACAAGAGCGAAAATAATACAGTGGAATTTGAATCTAAAGATCGAAGCTTTTGCATTTGGGTTGGAAAAAGTTGAAGTCTTTGAGCAGAAAAAGCATGGCCAGTTGCTGGGTAAGCAGTCCGCAGCCCCATCCCAATCTCCACCCTCATCAATCTTTCAGTAAGCGGCTGCTGATTCAGTCGCAGAGCCGCGTCCTCAGCCTCTCGAATTCTCAGCGCCGTCGTCGGAGCAGAATCTGCTGCAACTACGACGACGAAACGACTGGGAGACAATCACAACCACCAATTCCACAGGGTCCACAACCAACTGGGATTCAGCTCTACTCCGAGATTGAAAGGTAAGTTGTTCAGGCAGTGTGTGTGCGCCAGCCCCTTTGCATCCTGGGGTCGAATTACGCTGAACTAGAGTAGTTTAGAATATCGCCTTCTCGATTTTTATTTTTATTTTTATCTACTTGTAGAGTACTTACAGAGACAGTGAGGCAAGCCCAAGGTCGTTGGGATGGTACAGGCGACTGGACTCAAGTTGAGGTATCATTTCATGCTTTTTTTTCGGCTTATCACATCGGTTTTAGTTTCATTCGTGTATGCACAAGGCTTTCTGGAATCTGCACAGGTCAACCATCACAGGATTTCAAATTTTGTTTCAGTTATGTTTATATTCCGTGATGAATTCTGTATTCGGAACCACTTCCGGGTGCTTATTTAGTTAAAAGTCCATTATCCAAGTGAATTCTAGAAAGATGGCCTTGGGATGAAACTAGATCAAATTTTCATAGTGGATCGAAACTTGGTTTCGTGGTGGATCAAAACTTGTCGAATCTGCGTAGCAAGTTTTACTTTTTGTTTTGAGTTACGAAAGCAAGGTTTATAATGTTGAAACTGTACAAGGAAACAATACATGTCAAACGCCCCGATCAAATTATATTCTCATTAGTAAGGACTTCAGCAACCTGAGAGTTTCTTCTTTACTTGGTCATCCTTGCTTAGGGGTGTCCATTTCCTTATTCGCCTCGAAGTGCAACTTATACAAGTTCACACCCATGGCGACCATTCAAAATGGAAGATGAATAAACCAGGTAGTGGCTGCAGATGTTAATCCGAGAAACTTTCTCGAGCATTTCACAAGGCTCTAGCTTGAAAGCCTACGAACCTTTTTTCAAGGAATAAATAGTGTATGTTAGACACTGATTGAAAAAGCAGCCATATGTTTTTTTTACTCTATCTCTTGTATGTTTCATTTGTGGGAAGGATAGTCTTCATTCATAACCATTCTAAACCTATCTATCATTATATATTTCAGGGAGCATGGGTTCTCAAACCGAGAAACTCAGAACCCAAGGCCGTTGTACATTTTATTGGTGGCATATTTGTTGGAGCTGCCCCTCAGCTTACCTACCGTTTGTTTCTTGAGCGCCTCTCAGAAAAGTGAGATTCAGTTAAAACTTTGGTTGTCTGGTAATTAACTTGAATAGTTTGTATCATGCATATACAGCTTATATGCTGTCCTGATTTCTTTTATTAGAAAGTTGTATTTGATCTTTGTCTATCTACTATTGGTTTTGATGGAATTTTCCGCTTTTGAGAAAGAAGAAAATATGATTCAGCCATTTATGTGTTGTAGGGGTATTTTGGTGATTGCAACACCGTATGCTAGTGGATTTGATCACTTCTTCATTGCAGATGAAACCCAAATCAAATTTGATAGGTGTTATCGATTTCTTAAAGAGACGGTGTGTTTTTATTTCTTATCTTCAGAATCTGTATGTTTCGAATTCTGCTTGATTTTCTTCCTTAGGTACACAAAACCTGAGATGCTTGATTGTACAGGTTCAAGATCTTCCTACTTTCGGTATTGGCCACTCTTTGGGATCTGTCATCCACCTTTTGATCGGTATTGCCACTTTTTTTTCCTAACTGCTCTTAAGAGTGCAAATCTTTTGGGTTTTAGAAACTCATTACGTTGGTGGCTGAATGGTTGGTTAGGTTCAAGATATGCTGTTCAAAGAAATGGGAATGTGCTGATGGCATTCAATAACAAGGTATTTAACCTCCTGACTTCATTGGTATACATTTCAGAACTCAGTAAGAAGAGAAGAAATTGAGATGAGTAGAGGTGGAATTCTCACTATTTCTAACAGTTTGCTTGCTTTATCATTCTTTTCTCATTTAGGCTGCAACCAGTTGAACTATACACCATCTCTTAACATCTCATACACATCTCACGTGCATCATAATTACGTATTGAATGAAACAAAAGATAACAAGTAAAAACATATGCATAATAACACGATATATGGTTTCTAAAAGTGTTTCGGTAGAACATTTGATATTAAAAACATTGTTTCTTTCATAATTTGACAGGAGGCAAGCTCAACTATTCCTCTGTTCTCACCTGTTGTCGTTCCAGTTGCTCAAGGCCTTGGACCAATTTTAGCACAGATTGCATCATCACCAACAATCCGCCTAGGGGTGAGATTTCTAAAATTAACGTGTTGTAAATTTGTACATATATGTATATTTAGTTTTTAAACCATGACACATGAAGCGTGATTATATAATCATCTCATCGAGGAATTCCATTATTCATTTCTAGTAACAATGAAACTCTGACATTGAAATGCTTGCAGGCAGAAATGACTTTGAAGCAATTTGAAAACCTTAGCCCTCCCATCATGAAGCAAGTTCTTCCTTTAGTTGAGCAGCTCCCTCCACTGTATATGGACTTAGTTAATGGAAGAGAAGATTTTGCTCCAAAACCAGAAGAAACTCGGCGACTAGTAAGCAAACCTATAACTATTTACAAGTTGCTTCTATGCTTCTCTTCATATTTAATGTTAAGGTTTACCACTTAATGATGCTTTTTCTCAGGTAAAATCATACTACGGTATTTCCCGGAATCTTCTGGTGAAGTTCAGGGATGATATGATCGACGAGACTTCAACTTTGGCACAGTTGCTAATTTCAAATTCAGCCATCAGTTCTATGCTAGACATGTCGATTCGTTTATTACCTGGAGATCACGGGCTTCCTTTGCAACAGGTGAATTTTGTGCCAACCATAGTTGGGAAATAAATCTCCGTAGCTTTTATTTTTGGACATCCGTACGTCAAATGTATACTTAGAATCCCCGAGTCCGGTTCCAGTTTGATCCATCTCTAAAAGAGGAGCATTTTAGATAAATAATATTTCTATCGTGCAGGCTCTCCCAGATGTGCCTCCGGCAATGGCAGATGCAGTAAATCGCGGAAGTGAGATGTTGGCTAATCTCACCGTCGGGACACCATGGGAGACCGTTGCTAAAGAAGTAGGCAGCACATGGGGTGTGGACTCGAAGGTACTTCGTGCAGAAGCATCAAAAGACTTAGGCCTGCTTGTGGATGTGATTGCGTCGTGGATAACTTCAAATGCAGGTCCAAAGCTCTTGAAGCCGTGATGTGTTGGGCAAATAATAGCATACAAATCAGACCAAAGTTTTTATCTCGCCGAGACAAGAACATGGTTTTCGATAGGACGATGAAAAGAAATGAATTGGAAATAAAATCTTGTTCATATTTATGTAATTTCAAAGATGTTAATGTATAGATAGAAGTAATCAAAACGTGTGTAAATGTACATTTGTTGGGTTGTAAGTTGTAGCAAAAGCAGTGTTTCTCTAAAGAAGAAAAAAAGTTGTAACATAAACAAGCATCAGAAACAAGGATAATGATAGTTTACTGTTACCATTGATTCATAAATAAAATAGTTTCGCCCGCGGAATTCGTCCCCCTACTAAAAAAATCAAGCTCATAGTCAGGTACGGGATGGGATGATCCGCATGTGGTCTGCTATTGCCTGCCCCTTGCCTTTCTCATTTAGAGTGTGACGGACACAATATCGAACTCTTAAAGAGTAACATCTGCCACGTTGTACGGCCCGTGAGGGCTGCCTTTTTCAAAGAGATACTTCAGCGCGCCCATGTACGGAAAAACCCCTCTAAAGTCGTAAAAGATTCCGGTGTCAACTTGGGACAAGATATGTATTGAATTAAACTTCATATTGTAATAAGTTTTAATTTTTCTATGTCCCGACTTAAGTAAACACGCCACCATATAATTAGAATTATCAATAAATAATATGCAAGAAATAAAATTCTTGGCGCCCAAAAATCCAATTTAGGAAATACAAAATTCGATAAATAAGTCCAACAATATATTTTAACTACCACTCTATTAAGTAACAACCTAAGTTATAAAATTGGTTTGGTCCCAACTGTTTAACTTTAGGAAGGTTTTACTGTAAATACGAATCTGCAGTATATATGACAACTCATCCGTTGGATATATAGGCATGGCGCAATCTGACTTCTTAGCGAATCAAACGAAAGGATGACACAACGAGCAGCTCAAGCCTCCCGTCTCTTTGCATCTAATCTTCATGAAACAGATACAGGCCAAGGCCAAACCGAGCACACGCTCTGCAGAAAGCAAGTTGCTCAGCTGCAGCAACTGGATCGACAATATCGTCACTGGGTGCTACTGTTCCACTTGATTCACGGTGTGCCTGCATTGGTGCGTCAGATCAAATATTAGAACTGCAGGTGTTATCGTATGTTCCTCAAGGCACCCATTTTAAAACAGGAGATTTACAATTGAAACTTGTGGAGATAAGGACTATGACAAGAATTCGACGATGGTGAAATCATTGGCAATGCACCACTCCCCAAATAACAAGGCATCCAGCCAACAGTTATACATTACCTCACTTCCTTTAATTTTGAACTAGAAGATATAAACAGTGAAATCATTGGCAATGCACCGCTCCCCAAAGACGGGATAAGGACATGCTTCTAATTGTTTACTCGTGTAAAATGTTTCACTGTTTCCTTAGGCATTTTCTTGTGTAGAAGGTTTGTGACGCTTGCTGGTTACTCAGTTTTAGGTTATTTAACATTTCAAGAATTCAAATTCACGTTCCCATTCAAAACTAAATTCAGTACGTATTAAGTGTTCGTTAGCATAACATTTTTGTCCTCCACCCGAGTCTCCACCTTAAAACTATCATGAAAATTCTAAAAAGCACATCAACCTTCAAAAACATAAGATGACGGAGACTCTCTGAGCCTCTTAAATTAACAGTATATGAAAGATTCGCTTCCTAATACTTGACAGCACCAATTTTTTAGGACCAGAATTCCATAAAATTCAAAGCAATCGCGCACAAAAAAATTATATTCACATATGCAACCGTAGTGATTTTTTATGGCATGTATGATACAACTTGTGATTGCAAAGAATGATTCTATGATCAGAGGCATGAATATTATTGTCATATAGTAACTAGTTATCAAATATGATATGTTATAATGTAGAAATAAACCGCAGTAGATAGAAGAAGGGCCAGACCTCTCCATCAGATCCACGTACAGTGACACGGTATACCACAGTCACGCTTCCATTGTCAGAAAATATAACATCACGGACTTCTCCACACCATCCTGTAAAAGAGAATGTTAACAACTGATAACATATGGAGATTCACTAGAAACTAAATTAAGGGGTCAGCGAAAGTAAATTTAGTCCACAATTCACTACAGAGGGCAAGAGAGAGTAGCAGTCGGGCGAACTACCTGAAGCTCTTAAACTCGAATTGGGTTGCTGATCTTAATACTCTGCCTAAAACTCATAATGCAGGCATCAAGGTTTCGTAAACTAAAGACGAATTCGGGATTAAGAGCAATGATGAATAGCATGCACTCCAATTACCAAACATACATCTTAGTAGTGTACTGGCACAAATATTGAAGAATGATTGAAATGAAAAATGCACATAACATGGCATCTCCACGCCGAAACGCATGAGACTGATGAAGATTACAGATAGCTAATTGCTTAATAAAATCAGATTAACAGTTAAAAATACACCAATTACCAAGTATTGATTACAAAAGGTGAGAAACAATTTGCAAAATTTTTCTGAAAAACAAAAGTTGGGGTATTTTGGAGCAATTCAAAATTGAGATTATAAGGAATTATGATTGAAAGCTTATGAATTTGCAAACTGAGAAGACGAGGAAAAGAAGGGACACACCAGCAGCGTAGAAGCTCAACATCCGGTTGGCATGGTACCTACCCAATACACAAAATTTCCATGAGATTTGTTTGGTCAACGAGAAAATCAAATGAGAGAGAAAAGAAAATTACCAGGGGATGAAGGTGGAGGAGGGACTTTCAGCTGCCGTCTGGATGATGTTATCAGGGATTCGCTTGTTGAGGTCTCTGAGGATTTCAGTGAGAGGGCGAGTGATGAGGGACGAGTTGGAATACGAAAACGATTTGTCTAGGGGCACCACATAATTCGAATTGGGCACATCGCCACCGCTGCTGCTCTTGCATGCGATCATACAAACTCCTCCTCCCCCTCCCGTTCTCCTCCGACCCCAGATTCCAGCTCCGACCACTCGAGTTCGGAGCCGGATGGAATCGACCCGACACGGAACCGGGGCGGATATCGGGAGCAGAACATTGCTGCAGGTACTGGTCTGCAAAGCCATTGTTAGTTAGTCCACGCTCCTCTCTCCTCTGAAACTCCAACTCTCTCTCCTCTGAAACTCCCTCTCTCTCTCTAGAATCTAGGCGTCCGGGGGCGGGACTGGTAGATGTGAACACGATCGATTGCTTGTCCAAATTCTAAGAAAGTGGCGACACGTGCGGCCCAAGATCACAGCTTTTTTTTCCTTTCTTTACGTTATTTATTTTTATTTTTTAGTACATTTCGTTGCGCTGGTACTTTGACTATTTATTTTTTAAAAAGAAAACTAATTAAAAGTAAAAAGTAAAAAATAAATAAATAAATAAAAATTAATTTTAATGAAAAAGAACAAATAAAGATGTAGTGAATAATACCAGAAAAATGTAAAAATGTGATTTTTTGTTAACAGTGAACAATATTTTTGGTTAAAACTCCATTTTTTAAATTTATTTATTGCAGTATTGTTATTTTGGTTTTTGTCATTTTAGTCTCTATTGAACAATTTTACTTTTTATTTAACATATATTTTTTATGCAATGATCAAAATTATTGATGGTAGATTTCTACTTATTTTAAATATTAAGAACCAAAATGATGAATTATATCAATCTCAGATACCATTTTGGCTAAAATGCCAACACCGAATTTCATCTAAGTGTACGCTCAATTTTTATAAGGGTAATGTTATTAACACACTCATTCTTACTTCTCATACTCTTGTTAATTTTTTACTATTGATTTTTTTCAATTCATTCAATCCAATAGCTAAAATTTGAAAATAGTGTATGAAAAACACTATCATTTTTTTATACACACCATTAAATTATAAATGTAACTTTTTCTAATTTCACCAAATTTATTCCTTAGAATATCCTTAAACATCATCACCACAGACACCAACACACCAACAGACGGCTACTGATCCGATATGCTGAACAATATTTTTGTATAAATCTACACGTAGGGAGATGTTTTTGGTCAAAATTATAAGTCGAAAACAGTAGAAAGCAAAAACAGTTATATCCCTACTTCTGAAAACAAACGTTTTTTTCACAGCACAGTCACTTCTTACTAGCCTTTTGTTCCATCAAATCCAATGCAAAAACAAAAACCCTAGCAGCCACCCTGTAACGCCAAATCCCCTACCTACCCACCCAAGCCTAGCAGCCCCACACGCCCCAACCCACTTCCCCACCGTATCGACCCACCTACTCGCAAGTTGCACCCCGGAGTTTGGTGAGTTACAAAATACAAGGTGTTGTACACCAACCCTTCAACTAAATAAACTACTAATTCTAATTGGTTGGTGATTAAATTAAACTAACGTCTTGCCACACGCATATGGCAATTGCCTTTTTATATTAGACCATGTTCAATGAAAAAGTGGTGAATCGATTAAACTTATTTTTGGTTTAATTGTAATTTTTGAAATTCTTAAAGGGCAATCTATGATATTTTGAATGTTTTACCGTTATAAGATGCTCACTTTATATATATATATATATATATATATATATTAAATGTAATCTTTTTTGTCATAATATGTTGATGCTACTGCTTCAGGCCCATAAAAATTCCCAATTTTTTAAGTTAATATGATCATAATTTTAATTTTAATTTTTGAACATCCACGGCATATTGATCATATGATTAAAGTTGATGGCATAGTGATCAGAGTTCAACAACATATCAAATTTCTTTGCGGATTAAATTACTTTTTTTTTTCTTCCACTTTCGATACAAGTCCTACGAAAAGAAATGAATTCGAACACAAGACGTTTGATCAAATGATGATTAAGACAAGCCACTCAAAATGCTTGCTTTCTTGCACGAAAAATAGAAGTTGACGTGAGCTCGATCGATCGCACACGTCGCCATCCTTCATAACAAGTCGATGAATTCAAACGTATTTTTGAGCAAATCCACGACAAAGAGCAATTGAATTTTCATTCTTACGGTACCTAGTGAGGAAGGACTAGGAAAATGATAGAAAATCATAAGTAGTACATTGGACCAATCTCCACCCCATACATTTAGCCTATTTTTATTTGGTAACTTCATGCACTAAGCGCTGATGTATTTTCAAGCTGTAGCATCATATCCAAAGGTTAAACTTTAAGTTTTTAGATCAAATTCAACGATCAATCATGCAACGATAGTACGTGTTTTTAGGTACCAAAGAGAAAAATTGCTATTTAATAGTTCAGCAAGAACTATCCACCTACTTCATTCATAGAAGAGTCCTATTCTTGTATCAAAGTGTAGAAGTATCACTTCAAAACTTTCTTTGTTGCTTATGCATGCGGTTTCCGTGAGAATATGGAATTATCGTACATTGATAAGTTAAGGAAAGCTTCTAAGGAGTTAAACTACTCCTCCCCATTCCCCATGAGACGTGGGTTATTAGATACTGAGCGAAAATTCAACTTCCATCATGCAATCATAGCGTGTTCACCCACACTACCCTTACACATGCATATAAATTAGTTTGCTAATTGTTAATTAGTTTTACAACGAAACCTCATTTTCACCAAAGATGCTTGGATAAGCTGACTGCCAAGATAAATTCATTTCCCAAGAAGATCGTAATTTCAACATATAACATTTCTGCCCTTGAAGTTTCACCTATCAATCTATGACTACAAGTTACAACCAAAGCCCACCCTAGTCTCCCTTATGGGGAAAGAGACCAGATTTCGAACTGTTCGCTATGTACAGATCCAAGATCAAGAGCATTACATAAATTACAAACGCACCAGACGTACCCAAGTATGTAATGTTGTTTAAGGATTGAGTTCGCATCATGTGGTAACCCGTGTTACTTGTCTTTTTTTTAAAGGGATCAGCTGATGGCTTCATTACGGCAGTCCACCATTTTGAAGGCCGAAAGACTCACAGATGCATTTCAGCCTTTCCCTGACCACCCTTTCGTGTTACTTGTCATTTCCATAAGACGCTAAGTCAAAGCAAATAATAGGATGGTAGTTAAGACCAAAAGTAAGTTACTAAACAGATTGCTACCCAAAGCAAGTCTAGTAGCCACCTCTTCCAGCTTTCTATAAAAAATTTGCTGCACTTCATTGCGGATGCTTTGCACATCCATAGCACAATCTCTGTGGTCTTCCACCACCATTAAACCCTGCCGTCGCCGGCTCAATCTCTCCAAGACTCCATCCAACCCACAAAAGTTCTTAAAAACCAGAGCTTCGGTTGTCCTGACTCCTGAGTTGCAGAAGATTCTTAAGCGCAACGAGGGCTGCATACCATTGCAAATGATGAGAAACTGATTATCATAAAGTTACCAACTTCCTAATCCAACAAATCAGCAAATCGTGTACAAGTGGAGTAAGCACATCAAAATACAACTTAATTGAATTTATCATAAAGTTATTCCGTTGAGCTGTTTTTATTTTGAATGTGCATCGGATTTTTTAAAAACATTCTTTTGGAACTATAAACTTATCTTCGGATTATGATTTTTATACTCAATTTTTATAATCAAGTTAGAGCTGTAATGCATTTTAATCTAGAGTAAATTGTAGCAATGGTCCATCAACTTTAATCAAATTGAAGCAATGGTCCCTCAACTAAAAATTCATTATCATTAGTCCCTCAACTTATCAAAATGCGTAGCTATAGTCATTTTCATCAATTTCGTCAAAAATTTATCAAAATAAGTAATGTTGGAATAACTATTTATATAATTAGGGTCCCAACTCATCAAAGTGTGTAATTATGGTCATTTTCGTCAACCACGTCAAAAAATTTGTCAAAACGAGTTATGTTGTAAGGATCATTACTACAATTGGGTTAAAGTTAAGGAACAATTTCTCCAGTTGAATTAAACTTGAGGGACCAATGGTAATAGACTTTTAGTTAAGGGATCATAACTGCACGTTTTGATGAGTTGAGAAACCAATGGTAATGAATTTTTAGTTGAGGGACCATTGCTTCAATTGAGCTAAAGTTAAGGGACCATAGCTACAATTGGTTCTTTAATCTATGCTTTAGTACAAAAATTCAAGAATATTTACATCAAATTTGGGCCTCATTTTAATTCATTCAATATATGTATATTATATATATATATATATATATATTTTTTTTTTTTTTCAGAAATTATATTATTTATATTACTTTTTCAGTAAACTCTTCCAAAAATGGAAAATGCAAGAAAAGAAATTGCAATGGACGAAAGTGAAAATTTGCTTAAATTACAAAAAGACGAAAACGACGCCGCAGCCGGGTAGCCGCACAATTAGGTTTTTCAATTCAACTTAGTGGCTGGTGACCTCCGAGCTCCGACCCAAATTAGCAGCGGAGAGAGTAGAGGTTTAGGGTTTAAGGCCAGGCCAACAGTGACGGAGCGGAACAGCAAAGCTAAGATAGGGAGAGAGAGAGATGGTGAGGCTGACTGCCGACTTGGTATGGAAGAGCCCTCACTTCTTCAATGCTCTTAAGGAGAGAGAGTTGGATCTCCGAGGTAATTCCAATTCCAATTCCCAATTCCCAACTCCAAACCCTACATTGACGCCGTTAGGGTTTTGATAATTGAAACTGTTTGCTTCCTTTTTGTTGTCAGGTAATAAGATTGCTGTAATTGAAAACTTGGGAGCGACAGAGGTGTGATTTACTTAAATTTAACTGTAATCATTTCAAGCCATCGTTTTTTTGGATTTAATCTGCTTCAAATTGCTGAATTTAGTTGAATGAAATATGGTTTTTCGGTTTAATTTGAACAGGACCAATTTGACACCATTGATTTGTCTGACAATGAAATCGTCAAGCTCGAAAACATGCCCTATCTTAATCGTTTGGGTACTTTGATTATTAATAACAACCGAATCACCCGTATCAATCCCAACATTGGAGGTAACTAACTTCTATCCTTCTGTCACTTTGATGTCATACCATCATGTTATCTTTTATTTTATGTACCAAGTATCGAGTTGTATGTAAATGCAGAGTTCTTGCCGAAGTTACACACCTTGGTGCTTACCAACAACAGGCTAGTCAACCTGGTAGAGATCGACCCTCTCGCATCCCTCCCAAAGTTGCAGTACCTTAGCCTTTTGGATAACAACATCACCAAGAAGCCCAACTATAGGCTGTACTTGATTCATAAGTTAAAATCGCTTCGGGTTCTTGATTTTAAGAAGGTGAAAAACAAGGTGAGTCAACTTTAGATTGCCAAACTCATGTTTGTCGTTGTGGTGTGGGCGCTACTTTTCTATGGTACCATTTATGAGGTGCTTTTAGAGTGCCTAGGAATAACATACTAATGGAACACTAATACTTGGTATTAGAATGCCCTGAATTGCATAGCTGAGTTCCATGCTGACATGACAGAAGCACACATCTTGTGAGCAAAACTGGCTTGGCCATATTGTACTTAGCTACGGTGTAATGTGACATATATGTTGTATTATAATTGTGACGCTTTTTCTCTGGGGGATTTTCGATTTTAACTCGTAGGCTACTGAAAATCAATTTCTGTAGTGTCTGATTCCCAGACATTACATATTATTTTGGTTTTATAGCTTTAAAAGGCTTTGTTCGTTCCAAATGCTTAATTTTTGCTAACTTGTATCAATGGCTTCTGCTTATTTCTTACTAGTTTCACCCAAAAAGTGGAAATATGAAATAGAATGCTATTTTTCGTAGAAGGTTAGCTTGTCCCTTTTGTACCTATCACCTGGATTAATTATTATTTGGGCTTGTTCTATCAATCATAGGAGAGACTGGAAGCACAAACTTTGTTTTCATCTAAAGAGGTTGAAGAAGAGACTAGAAAGGTATCTCCCCAAAAATTCGTGCCTGCAGAGGTTCCAGAAGTTTCCCAGGAACAACAGGCTCCAAAAGTTGTTGCCCCCACTCCTGAACAAATTATGAAAATCAAGGTAATCTTAGCTATCAAGTTTTTGCATAATTTCATCAATCATTATGTTCTGTGACCATGTATGTGCATGGAAAAACCACGTCTTTCTCACGTTGGAGCTGTTAGTAAAACGAATGAAATATTATTTAAATGTATCTAGGAGAGACAAAGTTCACCATTCAATTACTTTTATAATCAACGCAGTTTTATTCAAGAAATAACAATTTTCATAGTCTTTTCAAGTCCGTGTTCTGAATGTGAAGGAAGAAACAGTTAATTAGGGTTATTCTTTTTTCCTCTACTAATGAATAAACATTAGTATGAAATTATTTTTCCAACCTCTATAATTGGATTTGTTCATAAGTGTAAATTGATTGAGCAATTCTGATGCATTGTCTATTCTCCATGTTAAATTGTCTTCTCTTTGCTGTTTAGGCATTAGTTGTCCCAACTGAAAGTTATTCTGATATATCGAGATATCCAGTTGTGGGAATTGATAGAGGATTTGATCTTTTGTGATAGATTATTGCTTTGTTTCGGTGGTTTTTTCTCCTACTGTGCAGCTATTTGTGGAGTCACCTTAGGTTTTCAATTATTTTATACATTGTTTGCCCATGTGCAGGCTGCCATAGTGAATTCCTCGACTCTTGAAGAGGTTGCTAGACTTGAAAAGGTTGTTTGCTCAAGCTGAGAAACTACTTCACAATTTTCTCGATGTCTTATCTCTTGATGTTTTTACTTTAACATTCTACTTGTTTTGCATGAGCAGGCACTGAAGTCGGGTCAGCTTCCTGCAGATTTGGAAATTTTTGATGATGATGCTGAGCCCAATAGTGTTGAAGAAAAGGATGATAAAATGGACACAAATACTGAAAATGAGGCTAGTACTGAACCAAAAGATGTGGAGGAGCAGAAGAACGATGAAGCTGAACTGATGGAACAGGTATTGATGCACTTCCTATAATGTTTAAACTTAAAAGTATTTTCTATATTTTTTTTCTTCATCTCTGTGCACTGTTGTAGAAAGGTCTCGTGTTATCCGGGTAAGAAGATGCGTACAACTTTGATGGCCTCAAAAATTATCTTATAAATCAAGATAGTGGTGTTATTGTTTTCAAATAATGCAATGTACAAACAGGACCCTTTACAAACAAGAGGGACTGTGTTGGCTTACAGTATTGTCATAATGTAAGGGCATAGGGAATGGACAGAAGGAAATAGGATGAGTTCGGTTCAGCCTTTGTCCGTTTATTTCTTCAGCTATCGGAATTCATTTCATGTTAAACTTACTATTGTAGCTCCCATCAGTTCTGTAGGCTTAGGTTGTGATGGCTTTAGGCTTCTTCACATTAGTGATTCATACAGAATTAGGATCCACTTGGGAAGAATCAATTGTTTAGCAAGGTTGATAATGATATGTTAGATTGTGTAATTGCTGAGCCCATTTTGAGAAGGATGGTTGTTATAAATTAGTACTGCGTTCGCATGTGTTACGATCCTGTAGTCTGTATGTAGGCAGGCGAACTTATATGATATGTTGGTTGATATTCTCTGGTTCTAGTACTAATGTACTTTATCCTCTTGCAGGAGTAGGAGAATCCAAATATATCCCGGCATCGTAAAGCTTGTCCGATTCGAACCCCTTGGCTGCGCCTGGAAAAGTTATTGATTCGGAAATTCTGCTACTCCTTGAACTCTGTTCAATATACGAGAGAACAAGGGGATTATGCCTGTGTAAGAACAATTTATTTTTGCCTGATTAATTAACACTAATCTTTTCCCTTTCTAACATGCTTTTGGGAGAGTTGGAAGGGTTCATATCTGTATTATGTTGATACAAAGTTTGTGTCAAATTTCATATATTCGTGTTGTTTGAGTTACAAAATAACAAAAGCCGTTGACCACTGCACAATTTTTTCTTACTTGTTCCAATGTTACATTTTACCACGGATGTTTAACTTATAATCGGTTTTTGCAAAATGCTACAAAACTACCGTAATTTTCATGCCGTTTTCTTGCACTATAAGCTATAAATTAAACAGTGACATTCCGGAGATTTTCCATTTGACATAACTGTGGTCTTGGCATTGGTCATGGTCATGGTCATGGCGGAGTTCATGGCGCCCAATAATTGTCTATTGCTTCCACGGCCACAGACACGGAGCGATATCTTCAGCGTTTGCCGGACGCAGTCCTACGATCACGCACGGCCGCCTTTAGCGGCCAGTCTTATACTCAACCTCTCCATCACGAACAAGAATGCTGCAAATTGGATGAGGATGTTCTGGAACGGCGGTCCACCGTGGAATTGTAACTTGGTTTTTTGATAAAATTTGTGTTCTACTTGTAACGAAAGCGCTTATGAGCACAAGTACTTGTTACATAAGCGTTTTCAGTTAGGACCTACGCGGTATCGTACAAGAAGAGTGTTTGAAAACGTATCAGCTCATGAGTTGCTGAGGGACTTGTGGGGTACCATGTTCATTTTCTTGCAGACTTTTGAGTGGTTGCTCCCAAACTGGTTACCATGACATATCATTTCTTACAGCTACCAGAAAACCTTTTTTTCATTTTTTTCCCTGGATCTTTAAATTTCGAATACTTTTCCGCAACTTCCATAATTGCCGTACTGAAACATTAAACAAAAAAGAAAGAAAAAAAGAAAAGTAAATAAAAAGAAAAAAGAAAAAGAGGCAGCTCCCTCAGAACGAAAAACCTATCAACACAGAATTGATTCAGACAAGGCTGAAACTTTTAATATATAAATGGAGTTCAATCATCGGGAGCTGCTTTTGCTGCTGCTGCTTCACATCAAATCAAATGCGAAACTTAATCCAATCAACTGAAAGAAAGTATTGACAAAGCAATTTAAAAAAAAAAAAAAAACACCATGCAAATGCGAATCAGAATTTATCAGCAGAGATGAAAAGTGAAGAACAAAGCGGAGTATCGATCAACAAGGCAGAGAGGGATAAACAACGGAAACAAAGGATTCTGCAGAATTTTGTGGCCTTCCGTTTGAGGCATTGGGACGGCGGCCGCGTCCTCGGATTCGGTGTTCCACCGAATGGATACCAAAGCAGCCTTTTATAGACGAGCCGCAACTCGAACGCTAGACCTAATTGTCACCTGCCCTGCAAGTTGCAAACCCCACTTGTTTATATGGGCCGCGCTTCCTGGGCTTCATCTTCCTTGTGGTTCAGGGTTTGTTTTCTTGTTGGGCTATTAGTTGCCTCTCATTTAATAAATTTTGTTCTCACATTACACGCTTGTGTCGTTGTTTTTATGTGATTTATTGAATTTGATGACTATAAATACATAATTATGTGTAAGAAGAAAATTTGTGTGCGGTTATTATTTCCAATAGAAAAAATGTCACAATGCAAAAATATTTTTTGCACATAGTTTCTTTTTCTGACATTCCTGTTTATTTGCCAATTGATTCTCTTTTGCTTTATTCCATTGAAAGACCAGAAGTAAACATGAATGTGCATGAGGCTGAAAATGAGAGTGAAAATCTTATGCCTATATTATAACCACATCACATGTTTTCTGCACCAATTTTAGAAGGATGGTGCTATCCACTCTCTTTTTAACCTTCCACACACTTCTCTCAAGGTTAAGCTATCAGACAAATAAATTGAAAAGATCAAAACATATAAAAATGAGCGTGAAAAGCACCACCTTTTTTTAATACCAATTGATGTGCCATGTTTTGTGTGTATATCCAAACACCATTGGATTCGCCAACATATAAGAGACATTGCTATATAAGTTATGGGATTGCTACCGTACTTATTCTTAGTTATTAAATTGAATAAATCAAAAGAAAATAACTGACATGAATAAACAAAGGCATGTCTTAAACTACTTGAGTTTGTTTAGAAGTTCTTTTTATAATGACTGAAAACACCAAGCGCGAATATTTTTAGAACCAATCTTTGGTAAAAACGCAAGTTCTTACAAAAAAACACTTCCAAGAGCTTTTAAAACCTAAAAACATTTTCTCTCAAAGCATCCAAAAGAATTCCATGACCAATCCAATTCCAAGTCTACACATCAAGCATCCAAAGGAATCCAACGTACCAAGAAAGATGAGGAGTATTAGCCACAATAAGCATAGGTTTACTTGTTTAGAGTCATCACAAGCAGATAAGAGAAACGTAACTCCTAGTTCAAACATGATTATTCAGCCCGGCTCCATCTCAAAGATGCGCCGCCACGACACTAGTAAATTGTCTCACAAGACAGACAATACCACATCGATGCTAGTAAATTGTTTCACAAGACAGACACGACACGACACGACACGACACGGCTTAAGTCACAAGTAAACCACAAAATACAACTACATAACCAAATGCGATGCGCAACCCCAAGGACCACAATGCAGCATCATTATGGGGTTCTCGATACATGGGTGCATATGTTCGGAAGGTCTTGGCCCAAAGGAAGCAGCCCTCGGCGTTGTATCCTCGTCCAATATGATCGATTTTCCTTGCCTCTTCTGCGATCCAGATGAAATCACCAGATCAAGGTTTTCAGGATCAGATAACAATGTAATGTCCTTCAAGAAATAAAGACACGATAAAGGGACTGATCGCTGTAAAAGAAAATAATTTTATCTAGATTAAAGAGGGAAGAAATACCTCAATCAAGCGTGAGCATGTTTCTGTCAATAGCTCAGGAGCAGCAGCAGCAACCACGACTCCGAGCGCACTGGTGCAGGCTTTTTGCACCCCACCTTCCTGCACCAGTTTTGGGGAAGAGTTGATTGATTGCTATTCAGAATCGTCATAAACTTCTTCATTGTCAGAAAACTCATCAAACGACCTCATATCAAGCTGGTAGCGAAGAATCCCCCCAATTCCACCAAAACCACGGCAGAACTGTGACCCCTCCTGTGACTTATTGGTGACAAACTCAAGACTACAACCAAAGCGCCTGTACTCGTTAGCAAACCACTCCAGCAGTGACATCTTGTCCTGAACCTCTAGGTCCGCATTGGCAGCATCCCGGAAGTTGCTCTGGTTGTTCTCCTGCTCCTTGTTGAAATGCTTCACTATAATCTCGCCAGAAATACTTTTCAGCACATACCGATTGATGTCGAGACTTTCCCACACAATAAGAATTTCGACAGCACCCATCTCTAGAGCTTTTAGTGTGTCGTCCACACCAAAAACATACTTTCCTGTATCCTGGCTGATCTCCTCAAAGTATTTTCCTATCAACTTCTTCTCCTGTATGAATTTCACATTGGACAGGATCTCTGCCGACAACTCAATAGCCTGGTTGAAACCATTCTCTCCTCCATAAGAAACATCCACCACATTCAGTATTTTGGCCTGCAGACGAGGATCAAACATATCTGACTGACTAAGCTCAGTTTTGAAGTCAGCTGACCCAGCGAGTATTAATCCTGAAACATTGGGCTGACTGGTGGCAGGATTAATATAAAACTGGGTTGCAAGCTCCGCTGTCTTCCTAACATAGTTGTGTCTCTTCTCCATTCGAAGACGAGCAAAACGTAGAGCTGATTGCCCTCCTCTTCCGTGCTTCTTTGGAAGGTCAACACTAAATTTATGAAGCACCTCTCTAGTGTTTCCACTTAATGTCCCAAAAAGTGTCCCATTTCCATCCATGACAATGAAGCCAAATTTGTCATCAGATTCTAAGAGTTCATTCAGCGCTTCAATATGGAACTTGTTGTCACAGAGGTAAAGAGATGCATTGATGGGCCTGAAAGGCTCAAAATCAATGGTAACCTTTTTCTCCTTCCCATCGTCAGTAACAATGGTACCTGTGTACAACACAAGCCCATTAGGAGGAACCTTGTTGTAAAGCTTGAGCCTCTGCTGCGCAGAAGTAATAGCCCCAAGAACAGATTGACGATTCACCCTGCTCTTAATGTTCGATGCAGTTCCAAATTCATCACCAAGCATCTTAGTCACACGAGAAATCTGATCCCGGGGAGGCATGATGAGAGAAATCATGCTGGTTCCATTACCCCTTGCAGCTTCAAGTGCCTTGATCAGTTTCTTAATCTTCCAAATCTCAATGTTCTTATCAGTCTCGTGACCATCTGCCATTCTGAAGAATTACAGCAACAGCTGAAACAACAAATGATGGCCTGCAAAATAACATTGAGCAGATGAGTTTCAAAAGAACAAAACCAGATGAAATAAGGCCACCAATTACAAGACAGAGTAAAACTCAATAAGTAAAGGCAAAATACGAAACAAGAAGTAACAAATTGTAAAGTGCCAGGATGCAGAAATTTTAGCCATAAATACTAAATTCAAAGAACACAACAAATATCCGCGCATTTCACTTTGGAAGGTTTAAGCAGCCAACAACAAAAATGAAAATGAAGAAGCATATAAGTTAAGAACTAGAATGCAAGAGTTGTATGATAACTACATACACTGTTCGAAAAACACAACAAGTCACAATTTCATGTTGGAAGAGTTAAGCAGACGACAAACAAAATGAAATGAAGAAGCATATAAGTTAAGAGGTCTAACTATAAAAAATGAATTTGGAGAACACGACAAGAAGTCTTCATGTTGAAAGAATTAAGCAGCTGACAACCCAACATGCAAATGAAGAAGCATAAAAGGTAAGATGTTCTAACTATAAACACCGAATCCGTAGAACACAAAAAGAAGTCATGCATTTCACGTTGAAAGTGCTAAACAGAGGACAACCCGAAATGCAAAACAAGCAGCAATAAGGTAATAGCTTGAATGCAAAAGTTATAACTATAAATACTGAATCTGGAGCCGTTGAATCCACATTAAAAGGAATAAGCATCCTAATTACACATGTTACCACATATTCTGAGGGGCACACAATCTAAATTTATAAAATACCAGAATGCCTCCACACTACATACTTTCATGCAATCTATTCAAATCCAGCCATAGCACGTAACAAGGGATGAGACGCATGCATATACCCAAAAACACACATCCCCGGCAACAATTGACAAAATTCAGCTAAAAATAATAGATACATGCTATCAAGCATAAAATACAGCAACAATTATTCACGATGGAAACTATTAATCACAGGGCATATCAATACAACCACAAATTATGCATAAAACCTGATGATTTCAACGCAAAAACAAAAAGCATGTAACAAAAAAGTAAAAAAATAACAATCATACACGAATTGATTGCATATCTTCAGAAAAAAAATCAGCAATCACAATATGCATACTGCACAGGGAATATAAAATATACCAATTTTCAAATTCGACAGAATTAAACAGCAGATCGAAACAATTGAGAGAACAAAAGCGCATAAGAACCCTAGAAAAATCGCATAAGAACCTTAGAGAAATCGCATAATAACCCTAGAAAAAGTCGCATAACAACCCTAGAAAAATCGCGTATGAACCTTAGAAAAATCGCAGAACAAAATAATAACTACAATAAAAAGGCGGAAAGGGGAGGACCTGATGGAAAGCGCGCAGCCAAGAGCTCCTGGAGAGTCGAGAGCGGAGGATACTTTGATATTAAAACAAGAGCTGACAGAAGGGACGTTCGGTTTATATAGTACCACCAGGCACCGCTGGGCCTAACCCTAACCCAACTTTTAACCCTGGTTAGATTAGATCAACCCGTCGTCCCACCCCTTGCAATTTTGGATTTCTCCGGAACCGACCTTTACCACAACCAAAAACAAGGACAAGAACTTGGCCACGATAATAAATATACGGCGGCTACCTATTTAGACGTCAAAACTTCCAACTCAAGTTTCTCTTTGGGCTTAAATCCAATGCGTGAACATGGTGCTTTGGATTTTCTGGCCATGAGAGGAATGGAGGCCCATGAACCTAATTTAATCTACTCTAGCATTTAGATCTATTTGGTAGGTTGGATGGGATTGAGCTTTAGGAATGAGATTGGATTGGTAAAGATTGGTTAGATTTTGTAAGACGGGACTTGTAACTTATGGATAATAATATGTTATAAAATTTATTTTATTATATATTCATAACTCATTATGTTTAGCTTATATGTCGAAACAATTACTTGTGCCCAATTCACTACTTCAAATGCACAAGTTAAACTCGATCTATGAGGGCATTCAACCAGGTTTATAGCGCTATATCTTGTGTACGAGGTTGAAGTAGGTGAATTAATTATCTTAACTTTTTTTTATACAAGTGATATTTAGTAAATTTAACTTGATACATCACAATGTCTTGAACAAAAGCATTTAAGGCATTCTCTGCTTGTATATAAAATGTGTACCTTACGTTTGATTAAAAAAAAAAAAAAAAAAAAATCTTAACTGAGATTAAATCACTTGGCCAAACTCTTTAGCCCCAAACAAAAAATGAAGCAAAGGGTAAAAGGGTTTCCGGGGCTTAGGGTTAAAAAAAAAAAAAACGACTTACGTGTGAAAAAAGGAAGGGTTTAGGGTTTAGGGTGATAGCGATAGTCATTTAATTTTTGGTCACACCTCTGATTGTCTGAGGCAACTGACCGAAAACCGCAGGAAGCAAACGGATATGACGAAGGAATCATTGAGGGTAACGGAGATAGAAGGGAGAGGACGGGGGTTAGTGGCTGCTCAGCCACTCAGGGGCGGCGAAATAGTTCTCAGAGACTCTCCGATCCTCCTCTACTCCGCTCTTTCTCTCGTTGCTCCTTCTCCCCAACCTTACTGCCAACACTGCTTCAAAACCTTACAAAAACCCCAACCTCAAGCTCAACCCCAAGTATGTCCATTGTGTTCGCACCATGTCTTCTGCGGCCCGAATTGCCTCTCCACCGCTCTCTCATCCTCTCACTCCCCTTGGGCCTGCTATGCCCTCCGCCTTCTCCGTGACTCCCCTTCGCCGCTCTCCGGCCAGCCGCTCGAGCGGCAGGTCCAGGCTAGTTTCCTGATCGCCGCCTACAACCTCGCGGCGGTTTCCCCTTCCGATTTCCAGATTCTATTGTCTCTCCAGGGCCAGCCACACGACCTCGCCGACGCCGACACCACGGCTGCTGCCCAGTTTCTTCACTCTCTCATCTCGACACTCTGTGCTCCCCACCCAGTGTTCCTAGAGCAGCCGTTTACGGTGGAGCTCTCGGCGGCCCTGCTGGCCAAGGACAAGCTCAACGCCTTCGGATTGATGGAACCCTTCACGGAATTGTCGCAGAGAGCGAGCAGGGCCTACGCCATTTATCCGAAAGCTTCGTTCTTTAACCACGACTGCCTCCCCAATGCCTGCCGCTTCGATTATATCGACACAGACAGCGAACACAACACCGACATGGTTATCAGGATGATCCATGATGTTCCAGCGGGGAGGGAGATTTGCCTGAGCTATTTTCCGGTTAACCAGAGCTATTCGAACCGGCAGAGGACTCTGGCGGAGGACTATGGCTTCGCTTGCCAATGTGATCGCTGCAAGGTGGAAACTAATTGGTCTGACAATGAGGGTGAGGAAGAAGAAGAGTGTATGGATGAGGACCAAGACCAGGAAATGGAAGCAGCCTTGGAATCAGAACTGGAATCCGGAAATAACATTGAAGAAGCCGAAGCTCAAGCCCAACGGGAAGCCGGGATAACGTCGAAGAAGCCGAAGCTCAAGCCCAAGGGGAATCCGATTTCCCACACGCCTATTTCTTTCTCAGGTTCATGTGCAATAGAACCAATTGCTGGGGCACTCTTGCTCCATTGCCCCCAAAAGATGACGGAACTTCTTCGAATGTCATGGAGTGCAATGTCTGTGGCAACCTTCAGAAAGATGAGGATAGCTAACTAACTGCTCTCTTGGTTGCTGGCTTTGTGTAAGTTTGATTATTATCTTTCTGCATTGAATTCACCTTGGGAGCAGCCTCTCCATAAATGGGGTAAGGCTAGCCGACATTCACCTCTCCCAGACCCTGCGTAAAGCGGGAGCCTTGTGCACTGGGTACGACTTTATTGAATTCACCTTTTGTTTTAGTTAGTTAATGAGTTAACAGCTAGAAACTGAATCCTTTGTATTTTTTGAGTTTCGACGCTAAATATGAATATGCACCTTCTGATCAAACTGCTCACCAGTTTATGTGATGATTGCTTGTAAACTTCTATATTAATGAAAAAAAGTTGAATTGGTTATGTTTAAGACTCCTATAATGAAAATAAGATAAGGTCACTTATCGAGATGAAATTGGTGTGTTATCAAGCAAGCATTTAGAGTGTTCCTCTGGTTTTATCCTTGCTAGGCAATTTAAATTTGTATCGCCTGATTAGTCTAATCTATGTGTCATCCCGCAGAATCCTTAGCAAATTGTAAGCGGTTACATGCCCTATTGTTGTTAGCACGTGTATTTGTCCGTCATCAGGACATATTCAGAGTCTTCAGACCAAAGTTTAACTATGATTAGGAACATGAAGAAAAAGTTTACAACTCCCCTATTCTCAGAGTCTTCAGACCAAAGTTTAACTATGATTAGGAACCTGTTCTAAATGTGTGGATTTTGGTTTTCTTTAGGAATGAAATATTTCTTCTTCTCTAGTTGCTTTACTTTTTAGGATTCTATAGGGAAAGACAAAAAAGAAAGACCAAAATCACAAAAGAAAGAAAACAACAAAACAATTCCAACGCATCTAATTGCCACTTGGTAAAGCTTTTTAATGATAAACTAGACAACTGTGATTTTGATACAGCAAATTGACAGCCGGAAAGCCTAGATGTCCTCCTGTATCTTGATGCATGTACGCATGTACCTAAAAGGTCGTACCCAGTGCACAAGGCTCCCGTTTTACGCAGGGTCTGGGAGAGGTGAATGTCGGCTAGCCTTACCCCCATTTATAGAGAGGCTGCTCCCAAGTCTCGAACCCGAGACCTACAGCTCATGGGCGAAGGCACTTGCCATCGCACCAAGTGCGACCTCTAAGTACCTAAAAATATATAGTGGAAGAAGTTTGAGTAAAGGGTGCATACTTAAAAAAGGGATAGCAAAAGCCTATACTTTTAATGGGAAAATGACTGCATGCTTTCTTTGGGAGCAAGTTGAAATATATGGCAAACCTTCTCATAAAACTAATACGAACATGCATATTAGTTAAGGATTGTCTAATTTTTTGCGTACAAAACTAGTTGATCAGATTGGGTAAATCGCAAGACTTTCATGCCAAGCCATGATTCTATAGACATCAAGATAATTTAAGTGCATCCGTAGAAGTAGGTATATGTTAAAAATACTCGTTGAATGTTTAGATCACAGGCTTCAAGAGATCAAAAGTTGGTAATCACAATCTTCTCAATGAAAGAAAGCAAAAGCATAATTAGAGGTTTCAGAGTTTTTATTAAATTGGTTATTCCTCTTTGCAATGTTCGTATTTCTAGTTCTTGTTTTAGGAATACGATGACCCAATGATTCCTGTGGGTGGATTGCTGGTGTGTGCGCCATTGTCCTTTAATATACATAAGCATTTTTTCTTTTCCTTTGTAAGTTAGGGCCAACAGGTGCTTAGTGGGAATTCTTAATTCTCTATACTTAGATACCACGTTGAGATAGGAAAGCTTAATTTCATGCTACGTTTGGTGACAAATGAGGGATTAGGATGCTGACTTTTTATTGAAGCAGTTTAGGGTTTTCTCCAAAAGGATCAGTAGGTTTCATGTTCAATTAGTGTATAAGCATATGCTAGCTGTTTGGAATTGTATTCATCAGATGGCATACGCTACCTGTATGCATTATATAGCCTCCTTTCCTTCTTTGGTTTGAAACTATACTATGTCTATCATCCAAAAATATAGTAATGTGATGTTTAAGCCTAGAAAATATTGCACCTAGGGCGGTCCAATATAATTGTCCATAGTCTTTTGGAAAGCGATGCTTGAAATAATCTTTTGGAAAAGAAAAAAAAAACATCCATAGTCTTATTTTCTCTGGTAGAGCTTACTCTTAATAGAAGCTGATCTTTCTTTTCGATTACAGAAACATTGGTGAAGGAGCACGGGCAGACATCCGCCAGCACCAATCATTCAAACTGCGTGACCCGATAATGTGGTGGTCCGATATGCTATAGGCGGTAAGATTTTTGCTTTACTCAAAAGAAAACTCATAGCAATCAATGAATAGCTAATGACATCCAATTGATTGGAAAACTTACTTGTGTAATAGGCCTATTACAAGTTTGGTTTTGGTAACTGACTATTCCCCTTTAACTGCTCCACCCTTTTGATCGAATCAAATACGTAGATGCTTTCCTAATCACGTTATATGAATCACCCCACTTGCTGTTTTGGAGTTTTTGGACCACCATATGCTTATTATAGTTGCACCGCCTACTACTCTCGTGTTTGTAATGCTTCCAACTTTATCAGTGCGTAATGCCCCTGCAAAAGTTATTAAGGGTGATTGTGTTTTCAGGTTTAGGACGTCATGAACGGCGTTGTCCGTGGCTACAGCATGTAATCGTGTTTTACCTAATTTTTGTTACTCTGCTTAACGATGGGTTTGGACGAGGGATTTCTAGCTATTTTACAATTTAGGGTTTAGAATTTAGGTTTAACCATAAACACTAAACCCTACAAACAGATTGTCTACCCTCCTGTTATAGTGTCCTTGCTATCCCCTTCTATTTGTACAGTCACGGTTAAGCAACGTCAATATTTTATATTCCTATTATTTTTTGTCTTAGCTTTATAAAAAAATCAATATAAAATGTTAACATGACTTAATTGTGACCGCACAAATAGGAAAGGATGAGAAGGGCACCATAACAGGAGGGCAGACAATCTGCCTCCGATGAAAATATACGGTATGAGTAATGGGCATTACCAAATCACTTTTAACTGAATCATTTCAAGTAATCATTTGTAAATCACTCTAAGTACATTGAATCTACTCATTTTAAATTCCCCAATTTCATATTTTGTACATTTTTAATGTGTTTCGGCGAAGCAGCTTATACGGAAAGCAGTGTCAAAGTGCTTCTGCAATAATTACTTAAATTTTGTTACAGAGTTGGACATGTTTTTTTTTTTTAAATTTGAGACATCAAAATGCTTGTGAACATAAATGTTCACTAAATAAAGCAATCTGTCATTAATATCGTGTAGGTATATGTTGTTGATATTGATGTTAGAAAAATGTTTTTGACACACTCAGATGTTTAATCCGCCTCACATTGTATGTATTTTTTTTTAATCTTTTTTTAGTAGAGCAATAATGTTAATGGATCACATAGATAGTTGTTAAAAAAAGATTATTGCTAAGAATTGAACTTACATTACATGACATGAGTAATTATTTTTTGTCACTGCGATAAAACTTCGGATGCAAAATCAAATGAAAATAGTTATGCGATAAAACTTCGGATGCAAAATCAAATGAAAATAGTTATGAGCTGCCTACCATATTCATGGAATTTTTTTGAAGCATAGTGGAGTGGGGCGGGGCGGGTTTGCTTTGTGCTTTTGCTTATTTGTCTGCGTTATCTTTGCCCATGTCCGTTCCTTACCAATGAGGATCTTAAGATATTTAAATCGTGTCCGTTTAACATTTATCGTACGATTAATTTTTATCAAATACTATTCATATTTAATTTTAAATAAAAATATTTAAAATAATTTCTGACAAATATCCGAAAAGAATCATCATTGGTTCCTTATCTTCAATCTTTCTTTTCTTTTTCTTTTTTCTGTGTGTCTGTTTATCTCGCAACCTCATCACAGGATGGAAACTTATCAACTCGTCACTGAAATTGAATGCTGAATTGACCATAAAACAAATCAAGTGCATAAAGATAGTGGTGAACAACATGGGAGGTGTAGCCATTCCTCTTTATTACTTTTGCTTTTTCCTTTTTACGTTTTGAGAGTTTCAAATTCTAAATCTTGTTCTTATTCGTCATTTTAATTATATTTGTCTTCTTTTAAAAAGTTGTATATTTTTTGACAATATTCGAAGTTAAGGTCTTCATTAGATTACTTTTTAGTTAAGTCAAATATTCGAAGTTATTGAACGATAGCCCTTGCAAATAATCTTCGAACGATCTTCTTTCTAGCGTGAACCACATTTTCTACTTGGTGGGGAAAATCAATTAATTTTGGAAGGAATATTGAAATTAAAATAGTAGTTTTTCAATTTTTTTACGGTATATAGTTATTAAAGTTGTACTAAATATATACACAAGAATGTAACGTGTACGTACATGCGAAAAAAGGAAAATAAATTTGGAAAGAGAGTCTAATGCATGAGTTTTACATTTTTTTAGTAATACAATTACAACCCATGGTTTGCTTCCATTATTCAAAATCCAGGCCAAAAAGCAAAAATCTGAGCTGCTGAAAAGCAGTCCCATCCCAGCGAGAAACAGCTTCAGCTGTTCACGTCACGCTTTTGGGAAGTCAGGCATTTTATGTTTGCGGCTCATCAGATACAAAGAGAGTCGGGATTCGGGAAAGCAATGCCAAAATAGATTGAGAAAATCTAAAGCCGGCAGAGAAGGAAGATATTTTCAGATGTATCTGTCGCATATTGTTATCATTTTATATGCTATAACAAATTGTATTTTAAACAAACGATATTATCTATAATAAGAATGTGTGAAAGTGATTGAGCCTCGTAATAGGCTGGCCATAATGGTTTGATTCAAATGTCATAAAATTTTCAGATGTATCTGTCGCATATTGTTATCATTTTTATTATGCAATAAGGGCAGAGTTATGGCCATAGATTCTTGATCAAACATAAAATGACCAAAATTAAACCACAAAAAATGTCATTAGATAAGATACAAGCCATAGTTAGAGGTGATTTTCTATTATTCTTTGTGACAGTCCTGCTTTCCTAAGATACACATAACTTTCTAGTAAAATATGGAACGAGTATAGTATATGAAAAATATGTAAATATTGTTCGACAACTTTGTCATAAAAAAAAAATCATATTATTTCGGCCATTTTTTATTTTAATATTTATTTACTTTTACTCTTGATAGAAAACGTGAATTGTATATATTTATTATAAAACGTGTCAAAAAATCGTGTGTTAAATGTAAAAGTATGTACGTCTATAATATGTGTATAGTACTTTGTAGTTATGAAATATGTGCATTTTAATGAATCATCAAAACGTGTATGTTAAGTGAACTTACTAACTATTATTGGAATTAGAGATATAGGAGATTAGTTATGCGATACGTGAATGTACTAAGTGGTTTGGTACTGAGGTGCTTTTATAAAAAGTGGTTATAAAAAAAAACTGAGCTCAAAAAGGTGTTTGGTAAACACTTAAAAACAGCTTATTTTTACAGTTTTGGATAAAAAAAAAATTGAAAACGTGAAACAGCAAAATTGAGTTTATTCTCACAGCACAATAGAAGCATTTTTTTTCAAAGCATAGTAATACCAAACCAACTCTAACTATTACTGGGATTAGAGATGTGGGAGACTAGATATAGGGCTGGTTTGGTATTACTGTGATTTGAAAAAAAAATTGTTTTTGCTGTGCTGTGAGAATAAGCTTATTGTTACTGCTTCACGTTTTCAGTTTTTTTTTTCACCCAAAACTGTGAAGATAAGTTGTTTTTAAGTATTTACCAAACACTTTTTTGAGTTCAACTTTTTTTATACCCACTTTTTATAAAATCACCTTAATACCAAACCAATACATACTCACGAGTCCTAATACAAAGCAGATTCTTATTTATAAATTATTATGCGGGGATGATAATTAAGGGATTTTAGAGGGTAATTACGGGAAAATACAGGGTGCAAAACAAATATCTGCTATGTTGCAATCACTAAGGGCGCGTTTGTTTGGCCGACTTAAGTTTCACTGGATTGGAATACTTAGTTAGAATCAGTAATCCTATGTTTGGTGTAAATTGAGATTGTGTTTAATGGGATTAAGCTGGACTTGTGCTGACTAAATCCTTCGCTAGGTGGGCTTAGCGAGAGCCACAAAAAACGATGAGATTCATAGTCCCGTTTTTGTTCTTCGCTTCACCTCGTGTTGCTTCGCTTCACCTCAGGCTTGAGCGACAACGTGCCTTCCCTTTCTCTGACTCTCTCTCTCCTCTTCCCTCTTCTTCATCTTAGAAGATCTCCAAGTCTACAATATTGGGCTTGACGGAAACGAATCCAAGAAATCCAAGCCATCGTTGTCTCTCACTTCCCCGACTCCACAAACCCCAACTAGTCGTCGGTCAGCTCGCGAGGCATCGCTGCAGGCCGGTTCCGCAGCTCCACAGACTTACCGCTCTGATTAAATCCACGAACTTGGAAAGCTCTTTCCAGTTGGAATCTTGAACTGAACAAAAACCTGAAAAACCAAGCTCGATTCTTTGTTTTGTAGAAGAAAAAAAATTTGGCAATTAATTGGAGAAAAAAAGGGAAGGGAAGGAAGGTGTGGGACGGAGAGAACGAGGGGGATAAAGAGGGAGAAAAAGATGGAGGCTTCTAGAGAGAGGGAGAGTTTATTATACCAAACCAATACATACTCACGAGTCCTAATACAAAGCAGATTCTTATTTATAAATTATTATGCGGGGATGATAATTAAGGGATTTTAGAGGGTAATTACGGGAAAATACAGGGTGCAAAACAAATATCTGCTATGTTGCAATCACTAAGGGCGCGTTTGTTTGGCCGACTTAAGTTTCACTGGATTGGAATACTTAGTTAGAATCAGTAATCCTATGTTTGGTGTAAATTGAGATTGTGTTTAATGAGATTAAGCTGGACTTGTGCTGACTAAATCCTTCGCTAGGTGGGCTTAGCGAGAGCCACAAAAAACGATGAGATTCATAGTCCCGTTTTTGTTCTTCGCTTCACCTCGTGTTGTTTCGCTTCACCTCAGGCTTGAGCGACAACGTGCCTTCCCTTTCTCTGACTCTCTCTCTCCTCTTCCCTCTTCTTCATCTTAGAAGATCTCCAAGTCTACAATATTGGGTTTGACGGAAACGAATCCAAGAAATCCAAGCCATCGTTGTCTCTCACTTCCCCGACTCCACAAACCCCAACTAGTCGTTGGTCAGCTCGCGAGGCATCGCTGCAGGCCGGTTCCGCAGCTCCACAGACTTACCGCTCTGATTAAATCCACGAACTTGGAAAGCTCTTTCCAGTTGGAATCTTGAACTGAACAAAAACCTGAAAAACCAAGCTCGATTCTTTGTTTTGTAGAAGAAAAAAAATTTGGCAATTAATTGGAGAAAAAAAGGGAAGGGAAGGAAGGTGTGGGACGGAGAGAACGAGGGGGATAAAGAGGGAGAAAAAGATGGAGGCTTCTAGAGAGAGGGAGAGTTTATTAGAATAAAAAGATAGAATTAATTAATATAATATTATTAGATATGATTTAAAAAATATAATATTGTAGTTTGTTATTATTCTTATTTTTAATCCGACATTGCACCAAATGTTTCATTAAGTTAGTCTAATTTAGTCTAGTTTAAACCAATCCAGCTTAATCTCTGAAGTTAATTTAGTTCAAGATAATTTGGTGAAACAAACTAAAAAATATACAAAAACACCTTTTCCTTTTGGGTTATATATATATATATATAACCAGGGGAGAGAGAAAATTAGAAGAGCATAAAAGGAGAAAGAGAAATCAGAAAACTTGGGGAGCATTTCCAACGCAGTCCTGCAAGGTACTGCCTCTTCTCCTTGCGGCTCCGCTCCCCCTCCCAAACCCAAACAAAAAAAGTCAAGAGTTTTATTTTATTTTATTTGATCTCTCTTACCCTCCAAAATCAGGTTTGTGTGGCCAATATTGAAGATTCATATTTCCATATATTTGTTTCCTTTTTCTTCTGATTACGAGCGATATTACTACTCTAACATTCTCGTATTTGTTATCTGATTTGCATATCATGTCCATTTACATGCAGAGTCCATAATAGGGTAGGGAGATATGGCGATGTACGAGCCTATTAAAGTGTACTCGGACGATGAAAAACGTGGTATGGCGGATCGTATCATGGGGAAGAACATTAATATCGGTGGTGGTGATGGTGTTGGTGGCGGTGATGGCGGTGATGGTCATATGGACGCCGATGTTGAGATGGCCGTCCAGCCGATATCAAAGCCTCCCACCGGCGTCGGGGGCGCTGCTTGTAAGAATATTAGTAGCGGAGAAGCAGCGGTGGCGTCATTGCCTTCGAAGTCGCGGCAACAGCAGCAACGCCTTGTTTCCCTTGACGTCTTTCGTGGACTCACGGTTGCGGTAACGTCTGCTTTCCCTGGATTTTCATAGTCCTTCATCTCTCTTCTATTTTTGCCTTCTATTTTTGGTAATGAAAAAAGATAAAAATTAATTTTAATTGATGAAAATAAATTTTAATGGTTAATATTTGAAGGCATTTGGTAGATTTTAGTATTAAAAATGATTTTTTAAAATAAAAGTTTTCTTTTTCATTAAAATAAACAATGTCAAAAGTGTTTTGCATGAGTTTAAGCTTTGCTCTGTTGTTTGTTTGTTTGTAACTGTCAACAAAATGGATGATTGATGACTAATGAACTGTTGCTAAACAGCTCATGTCACTTAAAATAGACCCCAAACTAGCTCCTTAAGAAATAAAATTAATGTTATTGTTCTTATGCATTTTTCGTTATGAAACACTAGCGTGTTATTTTACATTATAAAATTTAGAAGAACGGAACTGGTTTCTAGTTCAGTATTTTGCTTGTTTTTAAGTCTTAAATGAGTTGGATGAATGTGATCTGCTATGAAAATTTTGAAATTTAAGATTGTGGCAAAAAATCTCTTCTTTGTTGACTTTTTCCGTTCAATTTTGTTTGAAGAAATGGAAAATAATAAAAATCCAAATCCACGAAATAAAATGGTATCCCTCTTTTGTGGGTATCATGATTAATTGCATAAGCTTCTCTTATGGTTTTGGTCAAAAATCGATTTCATGTCTTTGTGTTCTTTCCTTTCAACAATGTCGTTCTAAAATCGATATCTTCTTTTGAAAAATGTTAAGGAAATTTTCTCGGCACCCCTAATGAAAACTGTCTATCACTTCATATTTTTTACATAATATTTTATAATATTAACATGGAAATTGAGATTAGATTGTGAGTTTTCAGAGATTTCATAAAAAATCTCATTTAAAATAGTCTCTTTATAATTTCTCTTCTTTTATGTTTTTGCTAAAAAATTAATTATATATTTTCTTTTATGTTTTTGCTAAAAAATTAATTACTTACCCCCTTACCTCCGGCCATCCACCCCAAACCCTACATCCAACCATCCGCGCCACCCCGTACCTCCAGCCTCTCGCATCCACACCACCGATCTATTTAAAAGTAAAACATGTTGATTATTTAAAAATCTTGGAATTATTATTTTCAAATACTAGATTTCTAATCAATTTCATTTTTGTTTTAAATCTTGATGCCACGTAATTAACCTAATGGAAAAACCAAATTTTCAGATTTTGTCAAATTCAAAAACGAAAATTAACATATTTTTAATTCAGCGAAGAAATCTAAATTATAATACAAATCCACCGACTAATTACGTAATTTAATGAAAGGAAAAAAAAAAGATTTAATCATCTTGTTATTATTGTGATCAATCCGTTCGTAAATATTCGTGTGCAAATCCGATCTCGATTCACATGTGACATCAAATGCAACGGACACGGCACCCTCCTTTTTTCTCTCCTTTTGCAAGGCTTTAATCAAAAGACACCGACCTCCTCAATCTCAATGCCCGTTTCTCAGGCTTTTGCTTTTTGTATCGAGTGACTTGGAGCTCCACCACCAAGCGCCTAAAATTTACCTCCACTGATAGATTCTGATACGTAACCGGAATATATTTCATTTTATTTGTAGTCATAAAATTTTAGTATGAGCGTTCGAATTATGTGTGGGTGCTTATTTATTTGATTTAAGTACGTGCTTTTGGATTACGTGTCGGTTCTTATTCATTTGTTTTGTGGTCCAAATGCAGTCATAAAATTTTAGTATAAGCAATCGGATCACGTGTCGGTTCTTATTTATTTGATTTTAGTATGTGCGTTCGGATTACATGTCGGTTCTTATTCATTTGTTCTGTGATCCAAATGCAGTCATAAAATTTTAGTATGAGCAATTGGATCACGTGGTAATTCTTATTTATTTAATTTTAGTATGTATGTTTGGATTACGTATCGGTTATTATTCATTTGTTTTATGGTTCAAATGCAGTATTCTTTATCAAAAACACTCTCGTGTTATACATACGATATTGTAGACAAGTTTCTATCTCTCCTATTTGGACTATTTTACTTTTTCTTTAATCTCATGTGACGGGTTGATGTACCAAATCTATCGCGTCTGACATGTAGAGATGGGTCATACTTCCCAAGTATGTCGGCTTCGCCTGCAGTCACTGCAACTCCAGCTGGTTGGTCCATCCATAAATTTGCTTGGAGTTTATCAAATATTTTACGTGTTGCTGGCATTACTTGCTTTGAGTTATGTCAAAAAGCTCTGAATGCCATTTAACTCCTGCCACTTGGAAACCAGTGCAAAAGCAGTTTCTCTTCTTCTTTCAATATTTTATAAAAAACGAAAACCTAATTACAATTTCAAATACATCTTTTACATAACTTGTACTATACTAACTCGTACGAATATAAAAACCATTTATACGAGTGCTTGTATTGTTCTATTTGTTACATCATTTGACATGTCGATTAACTCGTTGTTTCACATGCACATGATACCAACATAAATTGTTAAATCGAACACGACCCATGGTCACCTGTAGTTGTGAATCCTGTTATGTTCGTTTCCATAATTGCTTGCCATTGTTTGATGCAGCTGATGATAATAGTGGACGACATGGGTGGAATCCTGCCTGCAATTAACCATTCACCTTGGAATGGTTTAACCCTTGCAGATTTAGTCATGCCATTCTTCCTGTTTATTGTTGGTCTTTCCCTTGCACTTGCCTACAAGGTACACTTTACATTTCTTGCTCCATCAATTCATTTTTTCTTCATGATTACGTGATCTCCGTCACAGTTTTAGGAAGAAGCTAGCTAACAGATAAATGTTTCTGCGTACAGAAACCGTCATGCAGAGCTGATGCTACGAAAAAAGCAGTTTTACGGACGCTGAAGCTTCTAGCATTAGGCCTTTTTCTTCAAGGTACACTAATATATTAGACAGTCAAACCGAAACTTTTCTCTATCGTCAGGCTATTAGCATTTGATTGATATGTTCATATGGCAATAGTGAACTAGTAATTTTATGTCTTCTACAAAAGACTTTTACTGCAAAGTTTGATTTGCAAACTATAAGATTTTGTATACTGAGCAATGTCCGACATATCTTTTGTCCAGGCGGATTTTTCCATCGCGTCAAGGATCTTACCTTCGGGGTTGATATCACAAAGATCAGATGGATGGGCATTCTACAGGTATGCTGTATTTCAGTAGGGTTATTTCTTAATTTAGAAACTTGAGAGAAAAGTTAACTAATTCTTTTATTCACAGAGAATTGCGATTGGATATATTGTAGCAGCGTTGTGCGAGATTTGGCTAAAGCGTGATAGTAATGTCAACTCAGGAAGATCGCTGCTCAGGAAATATCGATCTCAATTGTAAGTAATATTTATCTGCATTAGTAGCCCTATTTTTTTGTTTTTCTGCACCACTCTAATACTAATGTGTATATTGCTCCATTTTAAAAAATGTATGCCCTGTTTCTCAGGGCTGTGGCATTGATAATCACCACGATATACCTGTCATCGTCATACGGATTATATGTTCCTGATTGGGAGTACCAGATTCCTGTCGATTCCTCCTCTGCACCGAAAACATTTTCAGTAAGTTTCCATCATTTGTTTCTTAGTTCTTTCCTAAAATGTTTGAGAATTCGGCGTATGTTTTGCTTTATAAAGATATATCCCGCTTTTATACTCATCTCTTTTTTGTAGGTAAAATGTGGAGTACGGGGTGACACGGGATCGGCTTGCAATGCAGTTGGGATGATTGATCGTACGATATTGGGGATTGAGCATTTATATAAACGACCAGTCTACGCGCGAACGGAGGTAAGAATCTATTTCCTTTACTTAATTTCATTTAATTGTAGTGTTCCTCACTGTCATTAGTAATGGTTAACTTTTATTTGCTATTTTACAGCAATGCAGTGTTAACTCCCCTGATTATGGCCCGTTGCCTGCCGATGCTCCTTCTTGGTGCCAAGCCCCTTTTGATCCTGAAGGACTTCTGAGGTGTGTTTTTTACTTTTTTGCAGATCCCATTTCATCACTATTTAGATAGACGTGTATTTTGGTTATTTGTTTCTAATCTTTTCGTGTTTTAAAATTTATTTGCTTCCCCTTCGTCGTTGCAGTTCAATGATGGCCATTGTTACCTGCTTGGTTGGTTTGCACTACGGGCACATCATTGTCCATTTTAAGGTGAGAAAACTTCATATCAGGTACTTCTTTTCTTCCTCAGAGGATTCATATCTGTAACCATTACTCCCTCCAAATGCAGGATCACCGGGAAAGAATTCTACACTGGTCTATCTCATCCTCGTCTCTTGTAGTCTTAGGCCTCACCCTCGACTTAATTGGTACGCAATTCCAGTACAATTTTGTTAAACACACATAAAGAATGGAATTAGCTGCAATTTTTTTTTATCACTAAACTATCCTTTTTATGCTTCTTTTTTCTCAGGCATGCATATTAACAAGGCTCTTTACACATTCAGTTATATGTGTATCACAGCTGGTGCTGCTGGAATTCTCTTCGCTGCAATTTACTTGATGGTAGGGTTTCAAGTCAAGTCAAGGAATTTAAGAGAAACTTTTTTCACAATTTCTTTTAATTTTCTCTTCAACTTGACACCGTCTTAGCATAAATACTTTATGGTTCGGCCTTCCTAGTTTTCTCACTGCACTTCTTCTTCTTCTTCTTCTTCCCTCAGGTCGATGTGTGTGGCTACAGGCGCCCGGCTATTGTGATGGAATGGATGGGAATGCATGCACTGATGATTTTCGTACTCATAGCCTGCAATATATTGCCAGTTGTCCTCTTTGGATTCTATTGGAGGAAGCCTGAGAACAACATTGTAGTTCCTTTTTCTTTCTTTCTTGTGTTAGATGTCATTTTCTCGAATTGATATTCAGTTATCTACTGGTTTTGTAATCTGATAATCTATATTATCTCTTGCAGCTTACCTTGATTGGAATCGGAAAATGAAGTGATAAAGAGCAGCTCTCGGGTAATATGACTGAAGTGCCCGCGCAAGTACAGTCACTTTTTTCTTGGACTGTAGAACCCAAATTGTTCAACTGATTTTGGTTCGTTGCATTTCGAGATGTGAAATAATGCGGAGTTTGGTCTTTCGTAGAGGCCCCGGCAGGCACGGAGTCTTTCCGCCACTCTTTCCATGTATACAGTTGGAGCTTTCGTAGAGGCCCAAAATTTCTCTGTGAGGACTGAAAATTGTATGGAAAGATTTAGAATCCGGGTATTATTCATGTGTCACTACTTTTATGAAATCAATCATTATATAATACTATTTCGAGAAATCGTCATCTTGCAACATGCATTTTCCCTCACTGATGAATTATTTATGGATAGAAAATAAATGAATCTGGTGTTTCTTGGACATCGAGCAAACAAGAAGAAATCATTCAAACCAATGTTCTAAAAATCTTAACCTGCCACCCGACTAGCGCCTAGCGTCTTTTTTTTCAAACAAATATGGAGAAGAAATATGAAGGAAACCTCCCAAAACCCACAGATGATTGTTGGGAATGATCAAAACCATCTTCAACCCGTAAGCATCCATACAACCGACATAAGAACGAAAGAAAATATAAATCTTGATGGTGAGGTGGAGTATGCAGCGTTTGGTGGAGGCGGAGGAGGAGGCGCAGGGCTAGTAGAATTGTTAACAGAACATGCACAGGTGGGAGAATCACCATTTGGAAAGTAGTAGGGATATATGGAGTATCCGGTCTGAACTATAGTGAGCACGAAGAGGAAGACACCGGCAACGAGGGAAATAATAGCCCATGGATTTCTGAAATAAGTGTGCATGAGATTGGCGCGCCAGACGTTCCAAGGCTTCTTGCAGTAGTGATACACATTCTTATGCACCGCATCAAGGCTGCTTTCTGGATCAAGCGTTATGTCCTTAGAGAGCGAGTTGAAAAGATCCGCAACTGCCTTGTCGCTTCCCAGGGCATTATGGATGATACCTTTTGAGTGTAGGAGGGCAACATCTCTGGCATTGTCTATGATATTGTCCATGAAAAATATATAGGATGTGACCTCGTTGCCTGCCCCAACATGGAAGCGCTCAAACGCTATCAGATTCAAGAACATGGATTCGGTGGTGTCATCCACAATGATGGATGGGAGCCTGAGGATTCCCCTGGAGAATGAGATGTCTTTGAGGCTAGTGGTTTTGCTTTCCTTGAATCTGATCCCGGCTTCATTAAGCTCTGTCGCTGACCAGATGATTTCCTCATGACGATTCACAGTCTCTGGTCTGCAGTGACCTGTTTTGCAATAGGGCTCTCCCAGAAGCTGGCTCTTCCTATACACATCCAATGCGTGCACGCATTTTCCCGTAATTGAGGCTGCTGTACCGGGGGAGAAGAACTTGATTAGGAGCTTGATGACAAACCCTTCATCCTGCCAGAAACAAATAGAGATTATTGTGCAACGAAAAACATCAACATAGGATACAGAGGACTATGTGTTAGAACATGAGCATCCCACATGGGATACAGAATCTTATGTGTTATGTTGTTAGAACATGAGCATCCCACATGAGCATCCACATGAGATTTTATTTAATTATTATGCAACAATTTAATTTCCTGACTTGAGATTGACACTCTCTACATTAATACCTTAGCGTAATCGCTCTCAACCGCAACCAGCTTGTCAAGAACCAGGATTGGCAACTGATTCTCAAGCATCAACATGTCGCGCTTGATGTACGGCATCGTATGGAGCTTCCCGTGGTTGCTGAAGACGGGATCATTGGGAGCGTAATCATCCAGTAAATGAGAAGCAACCCGCAAGACTTCCAGCATGAAACAGCCATCCAGAATCATCAGCTGCAAGAATCTATCTGTATCATCTCTCCACTCAGGCTCAAGCGGATTGTACGAGTCCTTCAAATCCTGCACCACTTCAGCCAGCGCGTTGACGAACAGCTCAACAGGTTTCCCACATCTTTTCAGGAAATGGACAAGGGCGCGGCGCTTGTGCTCCTCCATTGGATTTAAATTATTGCGCTTGTGGTCCTCATTTGGATTTAAATTATTGAAATGGTAAGGCCCGAAGGAGACCACCTGGGGCTTGTAGGCCTTCTTGTTAATGTCCGTGATGCAGGTTGGCAGTCTGTATATCGACCCCTTGCTCCAATGCTCCTTCTCTATCGAAAGATCCTGCATCTTATCGAGCTCTTCGTTAACTTGAATAATCCATTTCGTGTCTGCCATGGCAATCGTTGATCGACCACAGGCTGCAGACACCGAAATTTGTTCTGCTCCTTTATATATGCTGTCTCGAAAATCGGAACTGTTTCCAATCTTTTGATTCTTGCATTACAAGCAAGATCTTCACTCCGACAAGCTAAAGTAGTGAAGAACAATAAATCGGTCATTTGTCTGAATAATGTCAGCTTTTTTAAAGCTAGATTGAGTGATCAGGAGTTCTCATAAACTCTACAAGTTTACAACATTTTCTTAATTTGATAAAAGTGAAAGATTCATCGGTCTTTAAATATCACGAGGCAACTGCTTCTGTGATTCGTTTCCTCTCCAGAAGACAAAGTTTCTAATCGGTTTAATTACGGATTCACAAACTTTTCCTTTTTCTGCTGGCTTCCTACTTGCTCTAAAAGCCTCAGGCCTACGGGCCCTCAGCCTTATGATCTGGTTCTATAGACTGAAATACTACAATGGACACTCGACCCTCGTTTAGTGTCAAGGATTGGCATATGCCGTAACGTGGAAGGAAGAAAGTTCTTTCCTCTACAAAATGGTGATTGGAAGGGATAATGTTGTGGGACCAAATCAGTCCTTAACACAGAGAGAGGATAGCGGATCTTCTTTGTGAGGATTATGGAGATCCTTCAATCACATTCGTTCATCGTATATCGTGCGGTCAGTTTTTGTTAGATACTGTTTATATTTAAATTTAAATAAAAAAATTTACAATAATTTCTGATCGCACGATATACGATGAACCAATGTTACTTGAGAATCCTCAATATCCTCACTCCTTAACCTAACCTAAAGTAGTGACCTCGATAAGTGTAAAGCTTTGTAAAAATAAAAATAAAAAAATGTCCTTTTTCTTTTTACATAAGTTTTGAAAATACATGCAGATGACTTTACCGCTGTGAAGGATAGCAATTATGCCTGTATACCATGCTGCTTATTTGAACCCTACTGATTTCATTTCTCCCATAACAATTAACTATTTAACCCACTAACAATATCATTTGTCACAAATAAAAATAGAGATGTGATATCCACACATCCCGTTTTACTTCTCACACATCTTTTTAATTTTCGACCGTCGGATCGGATGAATTGAAGAAGATCAATGGATATGAATTATCAAGGATGTGTGAATAACACATCCCTAAAAATATTGAAACTACTCACTCGAATTTGTGCTCGAGCCCTCAAGCTGACAGTATGAAAATATAATATGTTGATGCACAAAATCAGCGAGGACTTTGGTACAACAGAAAGTGTCAGGTTTGTGACCTTCGCTTGGTTGCTTCGATCACTAGTGAAGATAAGTACGTAAATGAATAAGGACAGGGAGGCAAACACAAGATGTACGTGTGGTTCACCCAGATCGGCTACGTCCACGGAGTAGAGGAGTTCTCATTAATTGTGAAGGGGTTACACAAATACATAGGTTCAAGCTCTCATTTTGTGAGTTCTAGTGAATAGTTTAGTACAAAATGACATTAGAGATTATTGTGGGAGAATGATCCCTATTTATAGAAGAGAGTTTCTAGTTTTGTTCTAACATTGACACGTATCGTGTTGTGATTGGCTTCTGATGTTGACACGTGTCGAGCTGTGATTGGCTTCTGATGTCGACACGTGTTGCATTGTGATTGGCCTCCTGGTTGAAGGGAAGCTCTTCTGGGTCCTTGACGGTATAACGTTGACCGGTGCTCAGTAGTTTCGGGATTGGTCAAGTATGGTACAAACAGTGCTCCCCTAAGTTCCCGAGTGAGGGAAGCTCCTCGGTTGGGGACTTGCAAGATCCAAGCCATTGAGTAATCACGAAACTTCTAAGTACTGAAGTGTGGTATCATTTTCACGTGCCTTATTTGTTTCATATGTAGATGTGGCATCTTCTCTGGAAGTACTTTTCCTCCATCCATGGGTGGTATCTTTAACCGATGAAGATGCACAAGGTAATGTATCAATTTCACTTGACGCTTACTTGTAGTTTCGGGCTTGGTCAAGTGCGATACAAACCCTATAGTAGGAGTCTCCCAAGTCGCCGAGCTAGGAGATCTGCCGAAAGAGGTGACAGACAAGGTAAGCAGTCAAACTTCCAAGCAAGCAACCCAGGATCGGAGGTTTGACTTTGGCTTCCGGTTGATTGTTCTCCTTCTCCTTGTCTCTCATTCAGCTGCCAGGATAAGGAGAAGCAAATGGAGAAGAGATGATATGAGATACTTTTGCTTTTGAAGAAGTAACTTTCCACAGGCTTATTCTTGAACTGTGCTGGAGGGTTTTCTGGTTCCCTTCAGAGTATAAGGCCGACTCAAGAATTTGAGGGTTAAAACAAGTCCATCAAATCTAGAGTACGTTCGACCTTGATGATATGGGATACTTTTGCTGTTGACGGAATAATGAATGTGGTATGGAAAGGTGTCGTGCTGTAGTGATCTGTTTCAGCTCACCGTTAAACCTTCTGCTTCAATCTTTTGCATGGCAGAAGTGGTGTGCAACCTTTGCATTTAAATGGTCCTTCAGAACATTCCTTCATAGTGACTCATCCACGCTTGGCAGCTTCAGTGTAAAGAGCCAATATCTGATCAACTGTCATAAGGTATGTGCCGGTGGAATTCATGACCTTGACAGCAGTTGAGGATGAGTTCTCGAGAGCAATGCTAAGTAAGCAACCAGGCAAAGGTCTCAGGCAGTCAGTTCCAGATTGAAGGTTTGATTTCAGGTTCCGACTGACTGCTCTCTTTCTCTTTGTCCTGCAGGTGTGGACAAGGACGAAGACAAGGACAGGGAGAAAGCATGATATGGGATACTCTTGCTTTCGACCCTGATGATATGAGATACTCTTATTCTTGGTGTGGCTTATTTGCTGAGGTATTATCGGGGGGGGGGGAAATAAAGCTGAGTATTTCGAGAGGTTATGTTGATGGTGCATTCTTGAATGCGAGAAAGGGTTGAGCATTTTTGCAGGTTTGCCTGTCCGTTGAGGAGGGAGGTCGATGTATATAGAGATTTCCCAATAACAAGTAGTAATGCTATTCCTTTACCCTTCTTGGTCACAGCAATGTAGTGGGAGCTGC